ACCACAGTTCATCCTGTACAAGCCTGGGCACTGATAAGATAAGGAAAACACAACCTTCCTCTGTGACTGCTACTGACTGACTGATGTATTTAACTTCTGTGACTGCTACATAACTTTTTACTTTCATCATCTAGTCTTAGTTGTTGATACGCTTGTGACAAATCTATTTTAGAAAACCTGTCTCCATTTTGCAAACTGGAGAACAATTCTTCAATCTTAGGTAAAGGGTGTCTGTCTATCTCTAAGAAAGGATTTAGCGTTACTTTATAGTCTCCACACAATCTTAACTGACCATTTGTTTTCAAAACTGGTACTACAGGGGTAGCCCATTGGCTTGAATTTACTGGTGAAATAATACTCTCAGCTTCTAAACGTGCTAGTTCTGCTTCTACTTTATTTTTAAGTGTGAAAGGTAAGGTCCTTGGCTTATGATATTTAGGGGTTGCATTAGGTTTTAGTTTAAGTTTGACTGGTTCTCCCTTAAAACAACTTAGCTTGTCTGTGAAAACATCAGGGAATTCCTCATACAACTGTTTAACTAGCTGCTTGCCCTGCTGATGTACTGTGACATTTGTTTGTTTGTTTACATTGGTAACTGCGGTGTCGGCCACCTCAGTCGGCGCGCTAGTGTCGACCATTCTGCTAGCAGAACAGCTGACAGGTGTACCAACTGAGCTGTCATCCACAGCTGATTGAACATTGTTTACTTTACTACTATTTTTGATACTAACAACTAGCTGCAGTGCTTTCATCCAATCCCTACCTAACAATGGGTTTGCACCGTTAGGGACAACATACAGCTCTAATTGTTTACAAATACCTTCATGTTTTACATTTACACATAGTTTACCGATAGGTACGATCTTTTCGTGTGTGTACGAACTAAGAACTAAGCTTGTTGGTAGTAACTTTACGTGACTTAACTTTACTTTGTAATCTTTTTCAGATATAACTGACACACAAGCTCCGGTATCAATTTCAAATAGGATCTTTTTGCTCTCTACCTCTAATTGCACTCTAATTGGTTCTACTTTTTTCCTAACTTCTACTCCCTGTACCTGAAATAAGTTAGATATGTCATATACCGTGTCTTCGTCTACACTTTGTTCAGGGACATTTTCTGTTACATAATGTTGCCTAGCATTAGCATTACTGTACTTTGAATTAAAATACGACTTATTTCCTCCCCTAGACTGTCCATTAGTCTTAGATACATCATTATACTGTTTACTAAAATGGGGCCTATTTGCACTTCTACTCTTAGATCTACAAGCTTTTTCAATCTTCTTACAGAAATTGCAATTGTACTCACGATACCGACATTGCAGAGTATTGTGATTGTTCTTTCCACAGCAGTTGCACTCCCGGGGCTGTGACGTTGCCGAACCTCTGTTGGCTGCGAATTTTCCCCCGCTTCCGCTTGGTGCTGTCCTTGTCGTCTGGCTGAGGCGCTGAAGTCGTCCTCCTGGATTAAGCGTCATCTGGGCTGCTCCTTTCTCGGCGAACTCCATTGACGTTGCCAGCTGTACTGCCTTGTCGTAGGTCAGGTTATCCTCCCCCAGCAGTCGTCTCTGGATGTGGTGGTTCTTGAGGCCTGATACCAGTCTGTCGCGTAGATGGTCTGGAAGCTTGTCCCCAAACTCACAATGTTGCGATAGCTGCTTAAGTTGTACGATAAAATCACTCACTGTTTCGTGTTCTAACTGATGTCTGCGGCTGAATTTAAAACATTCTGTAATAAACGACGGTTTCGGGTGTAAATGTTTACCGACCGTGTCTACAATTTCCTCGTACGTCTTGGACGAAGGTTTATCAGGTGTGATTAAGTCCTTTAACAATTTATACGTCCTGACTCCCATTACCGTTAGTAGTGTGCTCGCTTTCTTTGTGGCATTAATCCCGTTGCAGTCTACAAAAAGTTCAAATCGCTCTGTATACGATTGCCAAGTTTCTTCGGCGCTGTCAAAAGGACCGATATTACCAATTGTTGCCATGTTTGTTGAAAAATACGTTTCCGCTAACTGTCCGAATTGTTCGAAATAACTTTCAGTCAACGGCATAAGTGCCTTTTTTACACTTATTTAACTGTCCGTAGTCTAATATTACGTCCATAAAACAAAGAATAACGTTATGTTAGGTGTACCTTTCTACACTCATGAAAACGTTTCCGCCAAGAATATGAGTCTGAGTCAATATTCGCGGTTGTTTGACGTTCGTCGGCCGTTTCTTCACGTTCACTTGTCACTTTGTTCACTTGCACTGTCACTTTGTTCACTTGCACTGTAACTTTGTTCACTTGCACTGTCACTTTGTTCGCGAATTTAAGTTTTAAAACGCGATAATATTCCGTGTTCCTCGTCGCCAGTTGTACGGTACGTCGTCATCGTACTGTACGTTTTGGGGTCAGGGATGGGGCGTTGTAATAAATACACTTGTTACATTTTAAAAGGGCTCAGAGGGCCGCAAAGGGTATACGGTGTTGACGGGACTAATACATGGTGTGGACTGACGTGAGGAGAGGGGATTTAGGCTTGTTCGGAAAGGTGGTGTGATGGTGGCGTGATATGACGTCACGGGAAAATAGCCATGAGCTGTTTTATTAGAAATATCGCCTGATTTTGCATATTGCCAACCTAAACAGAAATTGTGGTTACATGATGGTATGAGTGTCAAACTATTGTAACATTATGGTACAAATTATCAGAATATGGTACACAATGCAATTGACAATATATTTTGTTTGTTTACATTTTTGTTTACTTATTTTATTATTTACTTTTATGTTCTTAAAAGAAGTCGGGCGAATGGACAGTGAAGCTATTTCTAGCTGTTTGATACAAGTGAGTGATTAAAGGTGTTCGAAACACGATGAATATGGGATTAAAAACCATGTATGTTCTTCGTTCCAAGAGGTTGTCAGTGATCTTTAACAGGTCGCAATTTCATTGAAAAGTATTAAAGTAACGTATTAAAGAGGTCGTGAAAGAGAGCTGCGTGTTCAGGTACAACCTCGGCCAACCTTAGGACGTAAGGTATGAAGGTTCCACTGCTTTTAACACCCTTTCAGATGACAATTTTTCCAACTTGGGTCCTTTAAATGAAATATAAAGTCAAAGTTGATTAAATTAATTTAATGGTGGCTTCTGTTCACCCGTGAATTCGTGGGTAGAACCTCTTGTAACTTAGTATATTGAAGCGTTATTATGCGCCTTATGGTTACGGAGAAAATTCCAAAAAATTTTAAATTTCAAATTCCCATGTTATTCTTTTGGAGAATAAGTCAACTGTTGTAGTTTGCTTGTTTATGAACGTATTATTTTGATCAAATTTGGAAAATGCATTTATTTCTTACTAAACTATTACAATTTACATAAATAAAACACTATTGCCCTCCCTGTTGCAGCAAACCCAAGTACTCGTTAAAGTATTTATATTTAAAAAAAGGAATGAATGTGATATTTTTAAGGAGAAATTTTAGTGTAAATCCAGTCAGGCAAATGGAAATTCCCTTAGTCTGCAGGTTTGCTGCATCGGGGGTATTTTTATTGCTACCAAGTAAAATATTAAATACTATCAATTTAATATTTTATTATATCTAGCAATTGAGATAAACCCTGTAAGTAAGAGGCTAAACAAACTCTTTAATTTATGAAAATTAGAGATGGGCCGATACCAAAAATTGTCGATACCGATACCACCAAAGTACTTTCGATACCGATACTTCCGATACCTATCTTTTTTGCACAGTTTCTTCCACTAATAATATTATAAACTGTTATACCATATAAAAAACACAATATGTATGTGTATCAAACTTATATTTTGGTGTTAAAGGTATATTATTAATTGCAAAAAAACAATTGCAAAAATATGGAACTAAGTGTTTATTTTAAAATAGGCCTTCTGTAAATGTTTGAATTTGACTAAAGCATGAGATCTAATAAAGTTTCCTCTAATTTATAAATAGGCTTATATAAGTATTTATTTAAGACATTTGTGACATTTCGACGTGTTTAGGTTATTTATTTTGTACTAAAAATAATACATCTAAATGTCTGACTTATTGATACAGACATTGTTTAGTATAATTAATTTCGTGTTGGCAGGACATTCGCGTGCCAGTTGTCTCACGAGTTGAGTCTGACATCTTGAAATGTAGATTGTGTTGTGCAATGAGCTGAAGCTAAACAATGTCACCGGCACCGTCACTGTTTTGAACTAGATAGTTTCTAAGTTGGCTATGAAAATTGTTAACCGTGATTACAAAACTAATACGTAGCTATAAATAAAATAAATGTTAAAATAAAATATTTATCCCTGTCGGGTGTCGGTATCATCGGAATCGACTTTTGACAATCGAGTCTTTGTACCGATACCAATGTCCAAGTGGTAACAAATGGATGGTGGTATCGATGACGATAATCGACACATCGCTTTTTAGAACTGCATCGTGACCAAATCGATGCATGCTGGATCGAATCGGGATTTGGTGCATCGAATTTAAATTTCAATGCTTTGCACTCGCTGCACACCACTACCTATCCAGTGTCAGCTGTCGCTGTCAGTGAAATGGATGACGCAAGCGATGTCTAGGTTGCCGATTATTATTAGGCCTAGTATATCAATATTGAAAGGGGTTAAGGGATTAAATAAAACTCAAACGTTTTCCTTTCTTGTTATTTACTTGTCAAATATCAACGAAATCGGCTTAACCTCTACTACTCGACTCGAGTTGCGAGTATCTTTAACTAAGTAGGCAAACGGCTAGGATTCGTAACGGCAACGGCAATTTGCCCGCTCTGACTGAACTGACTTAATCCGCACCGATTCGGAGCATTCAGTGGTTCAGTGTCAGTATCGGTATCGAACCCAAAACAGGCACGTATCGAGTATCGACAATACCTCGATACCGCTGGTATCGAGAGTATTTTGGTATCGAGTATCGGTATCGGCCCACCTCTAATGAAAATATTTAGAAATTGAACCCAAGTTTTTTGCAGAGTACCTATAAGCTTGAGGAGGATGCTGTGTACTTTGACCTGGACCATGGGCGGAAGCTGGCATATAGTCTGCCTGGCCAGAAGACTTTGGTGTTCAACTCTATACGAGAGTCACATCGTGTGGTCATCTACAACTCTCTGTCTTGGGTTAGGGAGGAAGTGGTCACTCTTAGGGTCTCTACACCGGACCTCAAGGTATATTTAAACTGCTGATGCTCTACATGTGCTAATCAATACCCAATGTTTAAACAGATTCCATTCCACCCCATGGATTCTGTCAACAGTATGATGTAGGCAACCCAAGTCTCTTAACCTTCTCTTAACTTAATTTGTGCACTAAAATACAAATTTTACTTCATGAATGTTAGTTTTTATTGACCTGGAAGTAACCTCCAGGTGCGCCCTCTCCCGTTTTGAAAACCAATGCGCCCTCTGAAAGGTTAAAGATAATCAGTATGTTTGATATCACAATCCAAAAATATATCAACATAAAAAATCAGTAGTTTCTTAGTAATCTGACTCACATGTAAAAAATTGGTCTATTATTGGATGGATTTATTTTTTCACATTATAGAAGAGGACTTTCTAAAGTTGCAACCAAATAATTTATATTTTGTCGGGGGGGAAATATAACAATGTTTAAAACAAAGTTAGAGAAGTACTCGTTTTTATGAATCGCTAGATAAGAAGAAACTTTTTATACAAGTAAGATTTAAACAATGTAATGTGCATGTATTATTGCTTCTTACAGAAAGTGTTGGACGTGTTGTGATCTCAGACCTAAGGAATGTGATTTGGAGGATTGTGTATTTGTATTTAATTTACTAACAGGTGACAGACTGGAAGGGCAACGTTCTCCAAGCGCAGGTGGATCCTCATTGCCAGTTAGTGGACATCCACAGTCAATGCTATGAGCTCTCCTTTGTAGTCACTGTTGAGGCTCTGGGAATGTCCACATACTTTATCTACCTTGTGTCACCTGATGACAGTTCTAAGTAAGTAGCCTACTTGTGGTGATTCAGGTTAAATGTAATTAAAATGAGATGGATACTAAATTTAGACTAATGCAGAGTTAGGTTAGTCACGTAATATAGGATTTAAAATTCTAAAACACAACAATATCTATTTTTAACTATAATACAAGCTTGACCATGACATATTCTTTAAATAAAAACCCCAATTTGTAGAATATTCTTAAAACATCAATTTAGAAGGCATTTCCCTCTATCTTACTTGTTTCTTAGGCTTAACATGATAATCTCCTGATCCTGCTTGTAGGATGTTGTAACAGAACCCTTTCTCCTTAACTCTCTAAACTAACTTGCCCCATCAACTGACTCAACCCAACTATTAATGACACATTTAAAGCAAGAACCTTCTATATGTCAACACAATAAGTTAGTTATAATTTTTTTAAATCCAAACTACACTCGCAAAAGAACCCAAACGCTCTTTCTTTACAATATCAGCACCCTACCATTGAACCATTGTCTGATTTATTTTAGTTTACTACGTAGCAAAGTGTTATTTCAAAGTTTTGAACTGTAATCATGTTTTTTGTAGGGCTTCTCGTGTGAAAATAAAGGTTTTAAACTCTGGATGGACTCACAACCAGAAGGAGATGTTTGAAGATTGGGTTAATGAGTTTGACAATGACAAAGAGTTTACCATACAAAACCAAGTAATATCTGCAGCTTTCAGCAAATCTAGTCTACTCAAAGCAGTCACGTTCAAGAAATCTGGAAAAACCGTTCCTCTCCACCTCAACTTTGTCAAGTAAGTTTTAGCGTAATCTATTTGAATAGATTGAAAATTTGATGTGTGAGACATTATGACTATGATACTGTCCATTTCATATTATCATCTTTATTAGTAAAAATCACTTATTTTTCATTAGCTTTTTGTAAAAAATTATTACAGTAAGAACCTCTTTAATCCGAACCTCCGTAATCCGAACGTCCACTAATCCAAACAAAATGTGCAATATTTTACCACTTTTACAAGGTTATAACAGACTCTTTACCTATTCTATGGGTGCTAGCTGCTAGCGTATTGAAATTATACACAGACTACTGTATTAGAGCTAACACAAAGGTATGAATATACAGTGTGTAAATTAAGTCTGGCACACATTTTTTATCTTTTTTTCTATAGTAGATAGAAGAAATCAATTTGCGGGACTGATTAATAAAAAATGTTAGGCACTTTTTACAAATTTTGAAAATAAAAATTCCCTTAAAGGCAAGGGGGGGTGGGGGGTAACTAAAAATTTTCAAATGACAACCCCCATCTTGTGACCCCTCATTTTAAAGGTCATTGGAAGACAAATCCAAAGATGTGTCTAAAAATTTTTTTTGCACCCTATCCAAGATGGCGGTTTAAAATTTACTTAGGGTTGACCGGGTAAATTAGGTATGGCACACATTTCTTACCTTTTTTATTCTTTGTAGATAGAAGGAATTAATTTGCAGGACTGAGTAAGAACAAATGTTTGGCACTTTTTCATCATTTTGAAAAAAAATCCCCTTAAGGTGGGGGTGGGGGGTAACTAAACATTTTCAAATGACAACCCCCATCTTGTGACCCCTCATTTTAAAGGTATTTGGAAGACAAATTTAACGATGTGTCTGAAAATTTTTTTTGCATCCTGGGGGTTGTCATTTGAAAATTTTTAGTTACCCCACACCCCCACCTTAACCATAAGGGGAATCTTTTTCAAAATGATGAAAAAGTGCCAAACATTTGTTCTTACTCAGTCCCGCAAATTAATTCCTTCTATCTACAAAGAATAAAAAAGATAAGAAATGTGTGCCATACCTAATTTACCCGCTCAACCCTAAGTAAATTTTAAACCGCCATCTTGGATAGGGTGCAAAAAAAATTTTTAGACACATCTTTGGATTTGTCTTCCAATGACCTTTAAAATGAGGGGTCACAAGATGGGGGTTGTCATTTGAAAATTTTTAGTTACCCCCTACCCCCCCTTGCACTTAAGGGAATTTTGATTTTCAAAATTTGTAAAAAGTGCCGAACATTTGTTATTAATCAGTCCCGCAAATTGATTTCTTCTATCTACTATAGAAAAAAAGATAAAAAATGTGTGCCAGACTTAATTTACACACTGTATGAAGGACCATTTAAAAATTCCTCCCCTTCAAAATCGATTCCCCCCTTATATCTATCCCATATAGCCACTACAGATGCATCGGTATGAATGCCCTTTGTTGTGCCCTTTTCAAAAGTCACATTTTACAATGGTAACCCCCCCCCCCCCCCCCCGTTCGAATTGTCAAATCCCCCCCAAAGGTTATTCTTGTGGTCACCTTTGGTATGCCGATCTAAATTATTCAGAAACGTGCTAGAGACATTAAACTTTACAATAAAGTACAACAATACCTTCAATTATCAAGAAAATTTCTAAAAGTCCCATTCTTTATTATTAACCCCACCCCACCAAAAAAACCAAAATGGCAGACATCTGAAAACGAACCCCAATCGAGCCAAAGGCAAGTTTATTGTTATATACACCATAATTATTTCTATTGTAATGTACAGTACTGTTTATTCACTATGTTTACTACTGTACTAAATAAAGTCTGTACCGTATTTAACTTTATAAATAATTTTTTTACTTTTCCAACAATTACGATCCATTTTAGCCACGTTTTAGCTATTGTCATGTAAAAACAACAATATGTTCTGTAATCCAAACTATTCAACAGTCCGAACTACCCCTGGTCCCAATTAGTTTGGATTAAAGAGGTTCTACTGTATCAAAACAAAAGAATATTTACTTCCCAAATCCTAGTGATTTGTTGATTTGTGATTGTATCTTCATCCATGATGACCAACATACTTAGTCTGTGCTTTCTACGATAAATAACCCCGGACATTAAATCAGATTATTGACATTAAAGAAGTCTAAAGAACAACTCAAAAGTAAGTACCGCATGGATTCTTTAGCTTTTATATTTCTTTATTTATGACAAAGAATTCCATCTTCAAACACCACCTCTTATCTTTTCTTTATTACAGGTTTCAATGAATGGTTGTGTCGAGTTTGTTACCGACCGGAAATGGTTTATATGAGTTTTGATTTGGTTCTTTACCAAGGGACGTAGAACGCTCTGTTGTATCCATTGGAGTTTTTGAACTCATTAAGCCCTTTAGGTTCGTCACCTCATAAACCCATGCTTAAAAGAACTGAATTATCATGTTGATGAGAAACCTAAGCAAGGTCCAAGATTGGTTTTAGCTTACTTGGGCACCTACACTATCAAAGCAAAGTTGGCTGACTCCGGTCAAACTGTCATACTACGTAATAGTCCTTAATCCTTTCAAACTGATCAAGAAGGAATTTCCTGTAAAAGTTACCTTTAAATAAGGCACATAGACAGACGCTATCTAAGGAAGGATTATATGTACCAGAACCCGTTTTTGTTTACACATTCAGTTTTTTATGGCTTTGTCAAAGGTGCGACTGAAAACTATGTCTGGGTGTAAAAATAAAGCCATCAACACAAAAATCCTAAATGGCCATAGGTATTATTACTTGCCTTCGGTGATAGCGCCTTATTAAATTACTTACTACGTCCTTGGAAAATTTCAAGTTTATAGCATGTTTCTAAACAGTTAAGATTAGCATACCAAAGTACAGTAAGCCTCTTTTGACCTTATTCCCTATAAGAACAACATGGGGGGGGGGGGGGTAGTTAGAATGTTAAGATTGGGGTGAGTTTCAAGAAGCGTGCCAAATTTACCGTTCATAGCACACCTTCTTAAATCAATGATGCGCTTACTACGCAATCTTCAATACTGTACACTCCCACTTATCCGGACTCCTCGGGACCGAGGCCAGTCTTGATAATGGGTTTTCTGGTTAAACCTTCGTCCCGAAAAACTTGTTATGTAACCCAAATATTTGACTTAAATTCAGGAGAGCATTGTATTTACACACGTGATCACTAGTCTCAAACCATTCCCACAAGAACAGTCGTTTCCGTACCTCCCACTTCCTGCCGATCTAGTCCGGTTAAACCGATGTGCTGATAAAAATTGTCCGGTTAAAGATATGTAATTTCCGCTGAGTGTAGTCTGGTTAAACCGATGTCCGGTTAAAAGGTGTCCGGATAAGAGGGAGTCTGCTGTAAGGGGTATTTGAGAAGGATTCAGTGTGAATGCTTTGCACGGGTCAGCTAGTCTTATTTTAAATTAAAAATATTATTTTCCACAATTACTTAATAATTCATATGCCAGCTGCTTTTATTACCTCCATAACAATCCAATATTCATGTCTAGAGAATAGATTATATGCTACGGCCATCTTCCCAAAGGAGTGGTATGAAATAGTTATGTAACTTTTAATTTCTCATTAATAAAACATGCTATCTAGAGAATGTTATAATTTTGGCGAAATCAGATTAAACATCGATCATTCCTTGAGCCTTTCATTATCAACACTGTGTTCTCATACATGTTTTAAAGTTGGGATCTGTATTATGCCATTTAAGATCCTCCACCTAGGTGTGTATTTTAATGTGTGATGTATTTGTTTGACAACAGATACTCGTCCAGACCTGGGAGAGAGCGAAGTGGAGCTTATCTCTTCCTACCTGATGGAGAAGGAGAAAACCTACGCTTCCAGTCTCCCCTCACCTTGGTGTTCTATGGTCAGATCATGTCGAAAGTGTTCGTACAATTGCCTAATGTGAAGCACACTGTGATTCTTTATAACTCTCCAGGTTAGTCTGGCCAAACTGTGGTGTTTAATTTCATATTTGGTTTACTATCTTGCTTATTCTTTACATTAACCCTATCAAATCTTTAGTTTGTTTAGGTAAAAAGGTCAGATGTAAACCCTATTTGTAGTCATGTTTTTTTTTTTTCTAAAATGAGCAGGTGAAAAAAGATGTAGTAGGAGTTACAGTATTATCGTCATGTTATAGGAAGAACAATCAGTAGAATAATACTGTACATAATCTGATCTGTTGTCTGAATTTATTTTGCTGCACCCTAGATAACACAAACAACAGTAATGATTTGCATTAATTATCCACCCAACAAAATAATCCTTGAAATATTGCAATGTAATGAAATGGATGAAAAATTTCAATTTATTTTTACAAATATAAATACTATTTAGGGGGAGACAGATTGGGTGCCTAGCTGATCATGGAACATTTACACACAATCATGCTATTATACTTAGTAGTTCACACAACATAACATATTGTTTTTACTTTACAAATTAAATTGGTTTAAATACCTGTAATGTTGATAATCCAAGTGGTTGTGTAACAACTAGTTTTGGCTCACAATCAGCCTTCTTCAGGTTTTCCCAAGGACTTTGTCGCTTCTTCTGAAGGTCGTCAAAGTTCATAAATATTTACACAACATAGAAAACATTTAAAACACATATGACTAGGCCTAGCTTAACGACCCAACAGGCGGGAGTTAAGTGCTGAATCTATGTACTTTACAAAATATATATTTCATATTTTGATCTGAACAATTAATTTATTTGAAACAAAGTAAAACCACAGCTGTCTTATCAGTTAACTTACCTGTTCCCTTAGCTTTTATTGATGGATTACTTTTTCTGCAGGTGCTGATGGTCTTGGTTTGGAGGTTCACAATCTAGTGGATATTAGCTCATTGAACACCAACTATGAGCTTGTAATGAGAATATCAAGTAATATTAACAACAAAAATGTGTTCCACACTGATCTTAATGGTTTACAGGTATTTTCAGTTTTTAATCTATCCCTCTTCTCTCTCTCTCTCTCTCTATATATATATATATACTTTCTTTTTTATTTTAGTGTCGTTGGATCTTAATTTACATGTATATTTATTTAAAGTGTTAAGAAGGAGTTTAACAACTTGAATGTGCTAGTTATAAATTTTCATTGCTGCATTAATTTTTTACTTACTTGAAAAAACACCTCAAAAATACTTTATGAACATAAAGACAGGGGTTGGTGTAGTATATCCAATCCATTCAAGAAACTTAGTTAAACTTAAAAATATTATAAAAAATAAAAACTAAAAAAATTGAATAGATTTTTCAGGTATCGATAATCGGTATCAGTGTCAAGAATCGATTAATTTTGGTATCTATACATCACTAGTTGAAATCTTATTTAGAAAGGTCAATACACATTATCAACATTTGAGTCTTGTTTGATACAATTTATTTATACAATTTTAGAGTAGATAGTTCATTTTTAAAGTGTTATAGACTCAAAAAAGAAATGAAATAAACAAAACATTGCTGAACACTAATAGGCATTTTTAATTAAAGATATAAGTAATATAATACATTTATAATAATTGTATAAGTGCTTCTAAAGTGTAGTTAAATTAAATGAAAAGACAATCAAGAAGTAAAAGATTGCCACAGCACGATTGGAGAAGAACTATGTTATACTCAACAATATCCTTAATCTAGGACTCATAGCGTAAACAAACAGTATTAAAAGCTATTTCCAAAAAAGTGTTGGCTGGGCATGTTTAATATAATTGTTTTTTTTTTTAGATGATAAAACGAAAGAGGTTTAGCAAACTCCCTCTACAGGCTAACTACTATCCAATGCCGACTGCAATGTATATAGAAGATGACGACACTCGGCTCACACTGTTGTCTGCTCAACCTCTAGGAGTGGCTTCCTTACGAGAGGGTCAGATAGAGGTAAATAACTGCCAAACAAAGCTTTATTCATACAAACTAGATGTTATTAATAACAGTGAGAAATAGGGGTGTGCATTGTGCAATGCATCAAAATTCCGATTCTATTCGATTTGATGCATCAAATTTTGATTCCATTCAGTGGTGATCAAAATGACACTTTGATTCATATATTCATATTAAAACATACTGTGACATTGACTATCCGATCCATATACATTATTGAATCAGTATCCATATACGTTATTGAATCCGTATCCATACGTTGTTGATGTCGACATATACAGGTGATAGATAGGTGATATTGACTACCAGTATCCATATAAGTTATTGACATCAACATATATTTTGACATTGACTACCAGTATCCATACAAGTTATTAACATTGACATATATTGTAGGGATGGACGGGATTGAATTTTTAGTTCAGGACGGGACGGGGCGGGATTTTTATTTCCTTCCCAATTTCCTGTGCATAAAAAGAAAGTATTGAGTATTGCAGTTACCAAAGAAGACAAACACAATCAATTTTTACCATTTGTTGCTCTGATCTATAAATAGGCTACAAAAAATGGGTACAAATTTACAGGTATAGAAAATTGTGACTCGCGGTCGAAATGACTCGCAGTCACGGTGCGATCGTCAAAATGACTCGCGGTGACGGCAGGATTGTTGGTATGACTCCGCAGTCACGGCGTGATCATCGGTATGACTCGCAGTCTTGGTGGGATCGTCCGTAACTCCGCGATCACAACACGATCGAAAATTGGGAATATTTTTTTCCCGAAAATTTCCCAAAATTTTGGGACCCGGTTATTGATATCAAATTGACATGTATTGTGACATTGACTGTCAGTATCCATATAAGTTATTGATATCGACATATATTTGTAAACAACTGCATCGATTAATAAACCATCATATGTTTTAATGCAGACTAAGTTATATCATTTATGGGTTGGGTGTATAAATGTAATAACGAACAAACCTAAATCATAATGTCACTGATATTTTACTTTATTTCTTAAAAACCTCCTATTCCATTTTTGCTTTTTTTAATCGCCATAAAAATAAACGGTATCAACAATCTGACACATACTTTCTCCCATTATCTTGTCAACAACCATTATCATGGGTACGCGATGATAGTAACTACAATATTTAATAGGTAAAATCACAAAAGTTGCATTAACTTTTGAACCGTAATTTTTAAAAGAATGGGGGTTGTACTATTTCGTTTAGAATTATAAGGACTATTACAGACAAATTTCGAGGTATTTACTCAGGGGAGGTATAGATGAGCTTACGATGACAGCTGTGGGCTTCTCATTAGCTGAGGGAACACCATTACCGTAACAATACGGTTTGCAGCCATCGGCCTCGGTGGTCTAGTGGTTAGCGTGCCGGGCTGATATGCTGAGAGTCCTGGGTTCGAATCCGACTGCTAGCACTAACTTTTTGATAACTTTCCATTATCAGCAAGTTTGGTTGGTTTGGTTCGGTTATGACGGTTTAATTTTATAATTAAGTCATTATAAAATTTTAATTGAGCAATTTCTAGTTTTATTTAATAAACAGAATTATTTTTCTATTAATAAACTTTTTATATTATTTCATTATCAGCAAGTTTGGTTAGTTCGGTTAGGTTATTTAATAATAATTTAATAATTATTAATTAATTAATAATTATAATATTTAATAATTTATGTCATTTAATTTAATAGTAATTTTATAATAAAACAATTATAAAATTGAATTTGAGGCATTTATAATTTTATTTTATGAACAGAACTATTTTTACGATTAGTAAACCTTCATTGCCAAAATGCTCTCTACTACAGCGCTGTTCACGGAGGAATTTTTAACTAATGCCTCAATCGTACCTCCCCTAAGTCAGACCCAAATTTCAATCAGAATTGGTTTTTTTTAAATAAACTTTTCCGTTTTTTCATGGGTTTTTATGGGAAAATAACATAAGTTACAATAACTTTTGACTTGAACCATAATTTTTACAGGAGTGGGGGGTTGCACTGTTGTTAAGAATTATAAGGATTATCACATACTAATTTCAATCAAAACCGGATTGTTTTTAGAAAATATGATTTTCTCTTATTATATGGGGTTTTTTAATGGGAAAATAAAATAATATACAATAACTTTTGAATCGTGATAATTAGTTTTTACAGAAATGGAAGCTATACAATTTTGTTTGAATTTATAGGGCTATAACATACTAAATTTTATCAAAATTGTTAGGGCCATTTCCAATAAAATCAGATTTTTCCCTTATTTTATGGATTTTTATGGGAAAATCAATATAAAAAAAATCAAAATTTCAAATAAATGAAAAAAACTCCTGGAGATACCATGAATTAGTACCTACATACCAAATTTCATCAAAATCGGACCACAGGTGTAGTCTGTAGCTCTGTACACATCCACACATACAGACACACACACACACACACACACACACACACACAGACATTACTTCCAAAACCACTTTTTTGGGTCAAGGGAGCCCAAAACAGATATACCTATCCACTCAAAACTCATCAATTTTGACGAAAACAATACTTTCTCCATATAACTAATAGGGGGAGAAAGTAAAAGGCCATTTGTAATTATTTTTGGAACTCGAGATTTGAGGATTTGAGATTTGATTTTTTTAAATTTGGATTTGGGACTCAAAATTCCTGGATTTGACCATCACTACATCCAAATACATGGTACAGTATTCACTGAAACATTATTCCGCCATACCGGTTATTACCATCCAAGTACATGGCATTCACTAAGACATTGCTTCGCCAATGCTATAGAGGTTATTACCATCCAAGTACACAGTATTCACTGAGACATTGCTTAGCCTTAGAGGTGATTACCATCCAAGTACATGAAAATCACTGAGACATTGCTAAGCCATACAAGTTATGTACCTTGTAGTTTGTAGTCATGATTCTATACTCTTATTTCATCAATGTAAATGTAAACCAATTGAAAGTTACAGTATAAATCTTACAAAGGTTTTTATTTGTTTGTACCAAAACATATCGTTAATTAATTGTAAAATCAATTAAATAAAATAGGTAATATTATGATGCTGCAGCTCAAAGTTATGAAATAAGCAAGCAGCTCACTGAGATTTCCAGCAAAGAACTGGATGGTGTCATAGGTTCTTCTAGTATATATATGATTGAATATAAATATTTTTTCAAGTCATGTATGTCATATGTATGAATAGGCCTAAAACCACTTAAAAAAATGCATTGCACAAATAATCTGGTAAATTTTAATGATTGTTACTTCACTCAATTGCCAAGTATGAAAGGAAAAATTCTGCATTGTTTGGAGTCTAAAATTGTTTGTTGCTTTGCACACCCCTACTGAGAAAACTACCGGAATTCTTGGCGGTAGCGTCAATTTCCTTTGCATAGTTTTTTGCTACTATAAAGAGACTAATCGGTGCATATGGGTGTGAACCGGCTGAAATAGTAGTGGATCAAGTATGGAACATGACACACGGGGGAAGATTTGATCTAGCTGGTTGGAGAACCAGTTAGGGATGGGCCTGTTATATAGTGGATGGAGGGGGAGACTATGTTGTGTTAGGGTTGACGATGTTTGTGCTGCATGTCTGCAGGTGATGCAGGACCGTAGACTACTGCAGGATGACAACCGTGGGTTAGATCAGGGAGTTTTGGACAATAGACCAACACTGTCTCTGTTCCGACTCATCATAGAGGAACCATCTAATGTGAGTTGTTGCTATCTACAATCTACTCTTGCTTACTCGAAATTCAAGATAATGGCTTTTGTTTTTGTTCTGTGACTTAGGCATAGTTTAATAAGCTGTACAAATCATTCTTTCGAATAAATTTCAATGTAGAGGAAATTTGAAAGAAAATGTGTTTTACTGAGTTAAGGACTAGGATACTTTTCTTCCCTTCTTCCTCTACAAAACTATACTTTCTACAATAGATGATTTTTTGCACTCATAATCACTCATTGTCACTCTGAGAAAGAAGAAGAATACAAAATGTAGGTATCTTGGATTCTAGAAATGAAGCAATGATAATTAGTAGGCTACTTATTTATTGGACTTATTGGCATAGGGCTTAGAAGCAAAGATTGTATCTTTATTTTACAGTGAAATGCATATAACTTTTTAGTTAGAGTGTGCACATTTTTATTATTTAAGTGAGTATATATATATTTTTTTTAATAGGTAGGTAGGTCTAAATGTTTAACAAACTGCATTTGTGAGATAGAGAATGCCTTAGAAATGTTACAATATTTGACTGTAACGTATTGTGCAGGAGGACTGCAGTTTCTCCGAGCCCAGTCATACGGAGGCTAGCTGGATGGCAGTAGAGTCACTCAATCACCCTCTCCACCGCCTGATAGTCTTAGACCCAGACAAGGTACAGGGGCTGGGTATGTCGTGGCGGGCCGGGACACCTCTACACCCGGACATACGGGTGGTGTCTCTGTCAGTGGTCAGTCTGCCACACAGTGAGGCTGCGGGACTAGTAGTGCATCGGACACAGACCAACAACTGCTTCGCTCAGCCCCACCTCTCACACACCGTGACTGCTGCTGACCAGGGGAAGGTAACTACACTACTACACTACACTAGTCATGTATCAAACAACGTTTCTGCTGTAACAGTTGCTGAGTTAACAGTTTTGTAAGTAAATTGTAAGTTTAGAACTGTTTCAAGAAAAAGATGATAAAGAGAAGAATCAAATTTTACAGCACGTTACATATTACTAAATAATGTTTTAAAATTTTTACTCCCAAAGAGCGAATGCGTTTCTTTTTATAAACAGCTGTTTTTTGTTTTTAAATTTGTTCAATGTATTTCTTATGGGGAAAACCCGACCTTTGAGAGGGTCTCACGCCCTTAAGAGTAGAAATTTTAAAGTTCTAAGACCTTATTGCAAAACTACATATTGAGACAAATCTTTTGACACCTTAAACGTTGAAAATGGTCCACAAATAAGGGAGGAGTTGCGTTAACAAAATACGGCTTCACGTATTATATATATAGATAGATAGATAGATGTTTTAAAATATGAACTTCAATTTGAGATCTGAGACTCGAGATGATCTGGATTTGAGATTTAATTCCTTTATCCTATGATGGTAGCTGATGTCTGTCACTGCAATAAACCCTAACCAAAATCCGAAATAGGCACTACATAAAAATCTGGAGGTTCATGAATAACATCTATGAACAATGCAAAACATGTGTTTTCTCATTGCTGGAAGATTATCAGTAAATTTGATTGTTGTACTTGATTTCACCATTTAACTGTATTTTTTTAAAATTAAATTATTTTGCATGTGTTATTTAGTAGCCACTTACTGAAAAAAAAACAGTGTTAAACATTTTGTAATTTTAGACGCTTTTTTCCAGGTAAATATCAGTTCAGTACTGTCTATCTCCGGAGATATCATCCCAGCTTCACTCTCATTTGTATACAGAGGAAAACCTGTGAGCAGTTTAAACAGTCAAGACATGTGTCCCTACTCTATGTTAGCCTTTTTAATTCCAAATCAAACTGTATAGATTTTACAAGTACATAAAGACTGTAAATATTTTACTAGGTAAGAAAATGTGATTGACTGTATAGAACTAGTTTGTTGTACAGATTTTGTCTGTTTAAGTGTAATATGCTGTTTGGTTGAATGTTTGTCTGTGTGTATTTATTGGTTGGATCAGGATGGAATGGTTTGTCTTGAATTAAAAATATAAGATAATGATTAGAGGTGGGCGAGCCTCGAGCCTAGCTTTTACGTATAATGAATTTTACTACATAATGCCATATAGCACAGAAAACATACTACTATAACCCAGAATGCCAACCACATGGTAAAAAGCGTTAAGTACTTTGAGAGAGCTTTGCCTGTCAATTCGTAGGCAGCGCCACAGGCGTTGCTATGCACTCAGGATAGCAACGTTGGTGGCGCTGCCTACTTATTGACAGGCAAAGCTCTCTCAAAGTACTTAACGCTTTTTACCATGTGGTTGGCATTCTGGGTTATAGTAGTATGTTTTCTGTGCATATAATCAAATAATTTTCCACAAACCTTCTTTTCAAATGCAATTAATGTTGTCGTGTAACGTTAATTATTTAAGTCAAGTACATAAAAGGATTACAAAACGAAAACAAGCAACTACATTTATAAACTTTTTTAATTTTCTTCAAAAGGTAATGTTTTCTGAAAATTAGTGTGGTTATAGACTAAAAATATAAATAACCAACCAAATCATAAATAAATATTCAAATAATAATAAATACCTTAATTTTGTTAATGTTGTTTGTTGTTAGTTTGTTGTGTTAATTTTGTATTATAATTTTATTTATTTCTTTGTTATTTGAATTGAGCTATCTAAGCCATTAGAACAAAAGTTTTATTTTATAAAATATAATGTAGGCCTACAAAGATTAATATTTTACAGTCAATAAAACATCCCAACAATCAGAAAACTACACATTTTATATTTATTCAAATATTTATTTTAGGAGGAATAGTTTTATTTCAATAAAAATGTTGAACGCCAACACCCCTATTTTAATGTTTTGATGTGTTGCATTGTAATAAACCATGTCAGCGGTAAATAAATAAGAAAAAGTCTAACGTAGTCCAGGAGCTGTCAGAATGAATTTTACCCCTTTATAAATCCAACTATGGCTAAAAAATTTCAATAGGAAGTTAAATGTGTATATTGAACTACTGTAACTTATGATTATTATTTCATAACAAAACCATAAGTTTAAACTATTATGAGTAGTAATACATGTCTGATATGGTTATCAGTAAAAAAAAACCATTACCAGTATTAACCCTAAACATCTGTGGTTTTGTACACATCATAATCCCCAATTGACAATTTACCATCAATCATCCTCAATTGGTGATTTTTCGATCAAGCAATCTTCGCCGATGCGTTCTCCGGCCGTGGTGATATTGCAACTGTAAAAGCTCTGCTCGAGCTTGATTTTCTGACTTGATGCTGCTATCACTCAAGCTTGTAGGCTTGGCTCAAAAATGGAGCCGCTCGCACACCTCTAATCATAATGAGTTAGGTGATGTTTTGAAGGTGGTATATTGTTTTCAAGTGTCTTGTACTGTACACCTAAAGTATCTACAATAGTTGAAATGGTTGCATCGTAAATTTAAACAGGTATGTCTAGTCCAGATCATCCAGGAAGCTAATATAACTGGATTAGTACATAAAAACTGGTCTTTTCTGAAGAGTCAATTTCAAATCCTGTTCATCACAAACGGTTTTAAGTTACGTGATAATTCTGCAGATTGATGGTTAGGATCTCGCAACTCACCTTAAAACATGAAGTAAAAAACACCTTAAATCGTGATACTGTATGTCTTTCTCTTTCAAACCAAAGGCAGCCATTTGATGGATCATGTTGAACAGTTAATATATTTTTGAGTTTTTAGAGTATGACTGTAAATCATTGAAATTTATCTTGAGGTGAACAAAGATGACTAGAAGGAGCAGATTTATGTAATTCAAGCTTTTTACACTTTAAGATTAGTAATTAAAACACAGCTACTCAAAAATGCTACTACATACCAATACTTCAAACCAATATTTTAAAACTTATTATTTCTATGTTAGTTACTAGGAAGTCAATTTATTTATTCATTGAATCACTTATTCAAGGTGATTTTAAAACATTCTGGTGAAACGTTAATAAACTGTATTTGAAATTCCTTATTATATCATTTAGGTGTATCTGGCACAGAATTAAGGAATGTTATTGTTAGGCCTATTGGGCTTCACTCACACATGTTTTGTTAGGTGTTAAGACTCTTGTCTTAGTGGTTACTTCTTAAATTTCTTTACGTTATCAATCAAAGTGCTCCAAATTATAATTAACACAACATTTTATTTAAAACTTTTTAAAAATATAAGCGACTAAGCATCTTTTCAATTTTAGTGTGTTTGCACTTGATGGACCACTCTAATCTATATAATTGTTTTACTATGTAATAATGTGATGTAAAATCTCTTGAATGAGTTTTTAAATCTACAAATATTCAAGTAATTAACTGTTGTTCTTAACATAGTTCATAAATAATATGTCATCCTTAATTTGTATTGGAACTTTGTTTCTTCAATTTCAATCATTTAGTACAACAAAAAGAGTTTGGTGTTACATTTTAATATTACCGGTCAAATTAACTGATAGTAAAACTTATGGTTACATTTAGGTTTTGTCTTTATCTTTTAAATTTTTTTATTCAATTGTGTGGTTTCACAGTTCCTACAAAGCAACCAGCTAATGTAAGATCAAACTATATGAAACAAGTTTTTAGAACAAAAAGTTTAGTTTTAAAAGTAGGGTTTCGTAGTATTCTCGTTGTAATTATGCGGTCATTTACTGCATTACCTAATGAGACATTTTTCATTGCCTATCTGGCTTATCACCAGTGCAAACTGTCCACCTTTTTCATTCATCACTCTTTCTTCAAGGACCATTCTATGTACGAGTTTCACAGATATAATTTCCTGTCAAAGATTAAGATTCAAGGGTTGTCAGTGTAGTGTGCTTAATACTTTCTATAAAATAACTAAGTATGTTAGATACAAGTGTTATGTCTTGAGTTAAGATTCTAATGATGACAATTCTAAGGCTCAAATTTAAGTTGACATTAAAACAAGTTTTTGATAAAAAAATATCAAATATCAGTGATATAGGTCCAAGAAGTTATTATTTTATATGATCCGACTTGATATAGGACCACTTATGTTAGTAACATAATATTAACATATTAGAGAACACCAAAATTATCTGTGAAACTCCCATATCGAGTTATCAGAAAATGATGTTTATCTTTAATTGTGTTAAATATTCTTTACCTTTGAAATAATTATAATTTTGCATATTATGTAACAATATAATAGTACCCCTGCCATACTTTATTATTTATTGTGATAATGATAATTCGATACTGTTATTATTCAATTAACGATATTTAGAAAAAGTTACACAGTTTCACTTAAGGAATGCCAAATGAATAAATACAAATTTGCGAACAAATGTGTGTGTATACCTTGAGCCTAACAGAGAGGTCTTTCTGCAATGTCTGTTAAAATTTAAGGCAAGATTGGTTATAAATCAATATCAAACAACTAGGTAGGTATCGGTTACCTAATCCCTCATTCAAACGTACGTTCCTTAAACTTTATTTTCTACTGCCATAAAAGACTTTCCAGTACAATGTAATTTTTGTCGTTATATGAGAGATGAGTCTTAATTTGTTAAATTCTGTGAAAATGTTTATCTAATAATTGTGTATTGTGTATGTTATAACTGTCTTTTTAAGAATAAATTTACCAGTTTCTTTTATAATTTCAATGTTGATTGTTTTATCCCACCCTAAAAATCAACACATACCGGCCATCCGTCTGTTCTGCCATCGTTCTGGTTTAGGAAGAAATTGCATAGTTTCATCACATGTTTTAGGGTCACCATTGGAAAACCAATTTTTACCCCATAAACCCGTTCCTATAGTCCGATCATGCTAGTTAGCAAACTTGTTTGAATAAACGTAGTTAAACCTTTATACCAAATTTCACCAAAATTGGATCATTTTTGGTCGAGAGTTTATGTGCCAACGAACACACACAGACACACATATATATGAATTTACAACGGTTTTTAATTGTTTAGTACTTAACCTGGTTTGTTAAAGTAAACAATTTCAAGAAAGGATATTTTATAAAACAAAACTGTAATTTTATTTATATAGATAATACTTGCCGTTTGTCACCTAAGGTGAAAATTGATTGTTTCATTTCAGAGTGTTTTAGTGCAATAATTATTCACGCTTTTTAATTATTACTTGTTGATTAAAACTTATCAAGATTTATATAAAGATATACTGTACTGTTTACTGTAGCAGTAGGCCTATTATTTATACTTCTTGTTAACATTTTAAAAATCACTATAGAATTACTAACTTTGTCTATAAATTCATTTATTTCATACTATACCAGCTATTAACATTTTACAAAAAAACTAACACCCAAAATCAATCAGCTTATTCAATTTCAATTTCAACAAGTTTGCACCAAATTCCAATTCATTCAATAACAATTTATAATTGTTCGGTTAACATGACAAAGAATCTGAGGATAAAAAGGTATATTGGTTTGTATATTTGGCAGTGATAAACTCAGACACCGATGGCCACAAAACTTGGTCACATGGTTGCGTAGAATTTCATGGAGTAGGTTTATACACCAACAATTTCATGATAACTTTCAGGGCTTAGCCCTGGGGCCGTCCTGAAGGTAGGCTACCCATGTCAAGAGATTTTACTTACAAAACATATCAAAGTAAAATTTAAAACAGGTGATGTCAATTGGTGTGTTTCGTTCTGCTATTTAATTGTTTTAGTTTATAATTGAGATTTGTTTCTTGGTGCCATGTGGTTAATGAATTAGACTTTTGCATATATTTTAAATGCAATACACTATATAAAATTCTGTTACTGTTTCATAAAGACTGCAAATTAAACATGTGTTTTATTAAGGAAATGATTATGAGATGTAAAAAAAGATTGTTATTGTTTTTGACTTCTTACAAAAGACAGGTTTAAAACAAAGTCTTATTTAATTTAGTTCTTTCCTGATTAAATTATTGTCACGACAACTATCGGCGGTCGTGATACTGGTACTGTATATGTTATTCAACCCGAAGAACACCCGGGTACACACCAACAAAAACAATTCTAACATGTGGGCTATACGGTACCATGAATAGGTTCAGACCTAGTCACTGTTATAGCCCAATAGTTCAGGGTAGAGGTTAAAGAATATTCTTAAGCCCATTCTTGTTGAAAATAGGATTGGTTTGTCATGGTAATAAGCTTACACCTTTTTTAGGCATACTGATGAAAAATACACGTGAACTTGGTTTGTAAACTATTAGCTAATACTGAAAAAAACACACTTTTTACTAACAAATAAATCTAATAAAACAATCTTCTATTTTGTCCAAGGGAATAAAAAAACATGTTTATTGGTGTGCATAATAATGTATTCCACTGTTAACACTTAACACAAAACATAGACCTATTTCAATGATTACATTTTTTAGAATATTGTATGCCATATAACATAGCTCTTCAGGTGAAAACAAAATATCGTTACTAAATCAACTCAATACTTACAACATTTACATTTAAATAATATCTTCCCTAAATATACATTTGCCTTTAACAAACTTAAGTGTCTTATTATATAATATTGTGTTTGATGAAATAAGTTATCTTTTAAATTAGGCCTATAAATAAGTTAAGTTAAAAAATTTAGTGAGATTTTAAAACTCTGCTTCTTTTTAAGTTATAGGTTTTTAAAACAAACTCTCACTGGTCAATAAACTAAATTAGCTGTTTAATGAACCTGAATTAAATTATTGGTTGAGGTTTGAGGACAAAGTCTTAAGAGCTGCTAGAAGGAAATGTGGATTTAAAAGTATAAAACCCACCTGTGTCTATTACGTGTATAAAAATAGTAAAATATATTTGAGCAATTTGGATTATGTTTTCAAAATAAGCAATCTGTAACTAACAATAGGATACAAAATACAGCTTAGTTTACATTGGTGATTAAGAAGGCACTGTAACTACAAATGTAGTACCTATAAAGGTGATGAAATATATACAGTTAGTTTGAGCCCTAGACTTGATAAAATACTGTAAGACTCGATAGCTTATTATTAAATACAATGCGTTTTTTTTTTTATAAACGGTAAGCTATATGCATGAAATTGAATAAAAATCATTATTCGTTCATATACAGATATGGGTGCCAGATCTGGACAGATCTGAAATGAGTCCAGATCTGGCATCCGGTTCTGACCAGATTAACTCATATAAAACCAGATCTGGAACCAACCCACTTTTCCATAAGGGTTGTTGTTTGATAGGATTGATTTATATTACCATTGATTTCTAGTATTTTAAATTGCTGAAAAAGATTATTTAAGATTTAAGTTATAGAGACAGCCAAAAATAAGCTATTCTGACAATGAGCTTGTTGAACTTGTGAGCTCAAAAAGACTTCTTTTTCACTAGTCCTTAAATGTCATTATTCTTTCGTGGTCATAAAACTGAGTCAAGTTGTGTAAATTTTCCCACCATAAATTCAGCCTGTTTTTCATCACCAACTTAAACCAAGGAGTCAATGGATCTTTGAGATTGCTGACAAATGAATCAAACTCACTTTTTGGTACAAAGCAAACTTCGCTAACTTCATTGGGATTAGGATTCAGAGACAAATCTTTGTGAAGGAACAATATATAGTCAATCTCATGTTCTCCCCACACGCCATCACCTATTGATTTGTAATGTATCCGAGTCAAGTATTGTAGAGCATTCAAGTCTATTTCATGCTTTGGTATTCCCAGTTCATGTTGAAGTCTTCTCTGAGCAGCTAGTTTCACACCATGAGCATTCTTTTCTTCTGTTTCACCCTCTCCGTTGTATAAAGGGTGACTGCAGCATGCGTTAGTTACATAACCGGGGAATGTAACCTTAACATCCGATCTTTTTTGAAGAAGAATTTCATTTTGTGAATTAAATATAAAAACACTAAATGCTCGATGTAAAGGAATGTTACCGTCAGGACCGATTTTGTGACAGTCATATTTGCTTGCTTTCCCAACAACTTTGTCATTGTCATTCACTAAGATGCAGGATTCTTCTAATGCTGCTTCTTGAATTGGATCTATTTTTTTTGCTGCACTTGTCGACATTCCTCTTCTAATAGCAGCTCTCATAGACGAAAACATTTGACAATGTGGTATCTGAAATTTAAAAAAGTGATATCACTACTTGCCAGAAGCGAAAAGGGCATTTAGCTCTGCTTGATATAAATCAAATAAACGGTATTAGCAATATGACACATACTTCCTCCCATTAGCTTGTCAACAACCTTTATCATGGGAAAGGTGGGAGTGAATATAATATCTTATAAGAAAAAAATCACATAAGTTGCAATAACTTTTGAACCGTAATTGTTACAGCAATTGGGAGGTTGCACAATTTTGTTTGGAATGAATTTTAAGGACCATAACACATTCATTTTAATCAAAACTGGCTTTTTCCAAAAATCAGATTTTTTTGTTAGGCCTACCTATTTTATGGGTTTTTTTTATGGGAAAATAACATAAGTTACAATAACATTTGAAATAGCCTATAATTTTTACAGGAATGGGAGTTATACCCTTTTGCTCAGAATTTAAAGGGCTAAAACATATTAAAGTTTTATCAAAATTGATTTTTCCTTTATTTTATGGGTTTTTATGGAAAAATCATCATGAAAAATCAAAATTTAAAAAAAATGAAAAAACTCCTGGAGATACCAAATTCCATCAAAATCGGACCACAGGTGTAGTATATAGCTCTGTACACATCCACACATACAGACACGCACACACACACACACACAGACATCACTTTGAAAGCCACTTTCTAGCAAATTTCCCTTGGGAAGTAGCTATTACCGTAGGTGGCACAGCAAGACCTGGTCCCGGGACCGATTTACGTTTTCATTTTGATGTCCCTAGAGGCCAAAAACACTATTCGTTCAAATTTGTAGATATGTATATATATATATATATACTAGCAGTTACTGCACGTTGCTGCGCTAACAACTATTATTTTAAATGGTAATTTGTGCTTAACAATAAATAATAAAAATGTATATCAAAAACAAAAATAGGATATTTATTTTACTTAATTGCCTGTGGATAAACAATGTTTTTTTTTTCATTAGGTGTATAAATATGTAAGTTTTTAGGTGTACCTTCCACCACGTGAGCACGCCACATACAGCTTTCCATGTGAAAAGCATGCATTTTCTAAATTTAAACCGGTGATAGACAGGGATTGCCCTTTTGCATCATAATGGCGACTACGAAAGCAAGACGCAAAGGAAATTGTAGTCGCTTGAATTCAAAGGGTAGACTATTTCTCCTTTAAACTTACTGCTGATGATTTTTGCTTCGATCAAGTTTGGTGTAATTTTTTTATCGTCAGTCTGGTTCCTTGCACAGCTTGGGTTGATTTAAGTTTCCCATTAGTATTTTTAGAGTTTCTTCTTTTAATGACAGTTGTGGTGGGTTAATGACAAATTGGGAAGCATTTGAATACCTGAGATAGCACGCATGATTATTTTTCACTTAATCATTTATGTTAGATTGTTCGGTGGGTATAGAACAAAAGATAAAAATATTAAGTCATTGCCATCCCTTTTATGGTTTGGAATACTTTGATAAAGGTTTTTACTTTTTATGTTTACATATTTAATAGTGGAGAATTTAAACAATGTTGAGTGCACAGGTGTGCTGCAATTTGGAGTTTAGACTCATTCAAAAGTAAAATAATTTTCTGTACTGCATTCTGTGGAAACGGTGTTTAAAAATCATGACTAATATTTGGTGAAAGCGGAGCGGCTGAAGGGAGCCTCTCGGGATGAAGCAAGATGAAGATTACTGTCATAACCTAACCTAACTAACCAAACTTGATGATAATGAAAAAATCGAACGAAGGTTAAATTCTGTTCATAAAATAAAACTATAAATGCCTCAAATTCTAACAAAAGATGTACAGTTAAGAAGAAATGGCATTCTTAGCAAAATCTTTGACAAAAAGTTAAGTGTCACCGATGGGATTCGATCTAGATACCTCTTGCACATCAGCCGAGTGCTCTATCCACTACGCCACGAACACCGATGGATGTTCATCACACGCCAGCAAACAAAGAAGCAGACAAATTTAATTACACAAGTCGTGAGATACAGTGACGTCATCATCTTCATCCCGAGAGGCTCCCTTCAGCCGCTTTCTGGTGAAAGTAAACTATATTTATTTGTAAACATTGTAGTTCCAAAAGTCCGACATTGGACCTCTTAAAACCCTCTGGGGCGGAGCCTTTTTGACGGATCTGCACCAAACATCACACAAACCATCCTTAAATAATGCTAAATAATGCCTGAAAGTTTTACAATCTTTTGAGCAGTTTCTGCGTCCATAGGGTACAAACATACTTCCTCTTTTATAGATAGATAGATATATATATATAGGTATATATGTCCGTGAACGGGATAAATTGAGTATTTTTGTCTGATTTTGATTGAATTTGGCTTGAAGGTGTAGTGCAGTATAAAATTGAATGAGTTCGAGAACCAGTATGATCGGACCATGGGAACGGGGTTTTGTGGTGTAAAAATTTTTTTTCCCTCAGTTTTGACCTTCAAAACACAAAATTTCCCAATTTCTCTCTAGACCTGTTTGAAGAGCTTAAAAAAACAAATAATTTAGAATTTTACAGTTTTTTGTAAACTTTTTGGTAACGGAGAAAATTTAAAAAAGTGTTAATTTAAAATCCCCATGTTACTCTTATGGAGAATATTGTCAACTCTTGTAGTTTGCTTGTTTATGGATATATTTTTACCAAATTTGGTAAATTTATATATTTTATACTAAGCTCTTAATATTCCACTAAAACAAACACTTATTAGTCTCTGGGGGTTTATAGGGGGTTTTATGGTGTAAAAATTGTTTTTCCTCAGTTTTGACCTTCAAAACACAAAATTTCCCAATTTCTCTCTAAACCTGTTTGAAGAGCATAATTTTACAATTTATAAATAATAAAATGAATAAATAATTTCGAATTTTACAGTTTTTTGTAAACTTTTTGGTGACGGAGAAAATTTAAAAAAATTGTTAGTTTAAAATTCCCATGTTACTCTTATGGAGAATATTGTCAACTCTTGTAGTTTGCTTGTTTATGGAAATATTTTTACCAAATTTGGTAAATTTATATATTTTATACTAAGCTCTTAATATTCCACTAAAACAAACACTTATTAGTCTCTGGGGGTTTATAGGGGGTTTTATGGTGTAAAAATTGTTTTTCCTCAGTTTTGACCTTCAAAACACAAAATTTCCCAATTTCTCCTTAAACCTGTTTGAAGAGCTTAAAAAAACAAATAATTTAGAATTTTAAAGTTTTTTTGTACACTTTTTGTTAATGGAAAAAAAAGTGTTAATTTAAAATTCTCATGTTACTCTTATTGAGAATATTGTCAACTCTTGTAGTTTGCTTGTTTATGGATATATTTTTACCAAATTTGGTAAATTTATTTATTTTATACTAAGCTCTTAAAATTCCACTAAAACAAACACTTATTAGTCTCTAGGGGTTTATAGGGGGTTTTATGGTGTAAAAATTTTTTTTCCTCTGTTTTGACCTTCAAAACACAAAATTTCCCAATTTCTCTCTAGACCTGATTAAAGAGCTTAAAAAACAAATAATTTAGAATTTTTAAGTTTTTTTTGTACACTTTTTGTTAACGGATAAAATTAAAAAAAGTGTTAATTTAAAATTCCCATGTTACTCTTATGGAGAATATTGTCAACTCTTGTAGTTTGCTTGTTTATGGATATATTTTAACAAAATTTTGTAAATTTATTTATTTTATACTAAGCTCTTAATATTCCACTAAAACAAAAACTTATTAGTCTCCCTGTAGCAGAAAACCTAGGTACTCGTTAAACCTAATGTTATTTAAATTGAATTAATTTAAAATCAAATCAGGCAAATGGAAATTCGCTTAGCCTGCAGCAGGGCCGATTTACCGAATACGCACGGTAGGCACGAGTCTAGGACGCGAGGATGTTGGCTTTTTTTGGGGGGCGCCAACAATTGGTAAATAAAATATTTGGTGGTTGTATTTGCATTCGATCACGTTAATCTTCTGATAATCCCTCGCGGCCGTATAGACATCGTCTCCCACGATTGTGGCAAACAAATTTGTTTTGCGGTCGTGTTGACATAATTATCGTCTTCCATGATCGCCGCAATATATGAACATATATCATATATTAATCGAGTGATGTATCATATATGTCGTGGGGACATTATCATCGTCTTGCGCGATGGCGGTCAAATTCTGATCACCCCTCGTATCGGTGAATACCCTACATCATTATATTGTTCCCCACGGTCGTATGGACATAGTAATCGCCTCCCGCGATTGTAGCAAGATGGTAATCATCTCCCGTGGTTTGTGGAGATCATCATGGTCTTCCGCAGATGATTCTGATCCTTTCCCGCGGTCATGTGGACATTAACATTGTGTTACGCTATCGCGGCATCATCTGATCATCCCTCGGCCGTGTAGAAATCATTGTATCTCCCCTAGTAGTGTAGACATCGTAATCGTCTCCCGCAGTTGTGAAGACATCGTAATCGTCTCTTGCTATTGCGGCAAAATGTTAATCATATCCCGCATTCATGTGGAGATCATCATCGTCTTCCGCGATCGCGGCAGAAATCAGGGACAGAAATATGGCTGTTTCCCGCGGCTGTGTGGACATTATCCTATTCCGTGATTCCAGAAAATTCTGATCATCCCTCGTGGCCGTGTGTACTATTGGCATGTGTGATCGTGGTAAATTGAAAATTCCAGGTAGAAATACAAAATTCACGTGTAATTCCTAGTTAAAAAAAAACTCACATAATTTCCTGTTTTCCCAGTTCTGCCGGTCGCTGGATACCCTGTTATATATAATGCAAAGGGGCGCTACTACTAGTTGTGCCTAGGGCACTGACAGGGTCAAAAACGGGCCTGGTCTGCAGGTTTGCTGCGACGGGGTATTTGGGTTCAGGGAGACCTATGACCCAAAACAGATGTACCCACTCAAAACTCAAACTCAAAAATGTTGACGAAAACAATACTTTATATCAGCCTATAGTCCTGGAAGGAGTAATTCTTATCACTCGATCCTTCTTGAACCCCATTGGTCCGATACTTTACCACACTAGTACTGTAAATTAAGTAAACAGTGAGATAAAGTGAACCTTTTAGATTCTAAAAATTGAATTAAAAAGACTAATTTAAATACTATTTTAACTATACACTAGTTTAAATAACAGTCGTAAGTAATCCTATGTATTAAAACGAAACAGGGTTTTTTTTTTTATTTCACGATTCTGAATCAACTACTTGACGGATTTTTATGATTTTTGTGTTGAAAGAAAGATAATTTTGAGAACTAGGGAATGTCAAAGCCATAATTTTAGTTTAGGGTTTCAGTTTTTTAGAAATTAAGTTTTAATTTTCAAAAAGTCTAGCAGCCGACGGACGAGTTAAAGTCGTTTAAGTGGTGGTTTAACTAACAACTGGTTTCTAACTGTCATTGAAATGTTTATGTTACAAGTTGTTTGTATAAAAAAATATTGATCGTCAGAGTTTGCCTACACACTATTTTACTTTAAAATGCAGTTTATTTTCTACCGTAAAAGATCTATGTTATCAGGAGATTGTGTAATTTTATACTAAACATTTTAAACGTATAATCAAGTTTTGTCATAAATGCAATCCGTCTAAGTATACCTAAGTGCTTAATCTTTTAAGATATAAGTGGTTTATATGTTGATACATCCTTTTCTAGATGTTTGAATATAAGTATGACTGCATACAGTAGGCCTACACATTTTATTCGTAATGAAAATGTCAACCGGTGTAGTAGGTCTCCAGAAAACTGACCAGTAAGCTGCAGGGTGTCAGTAGAAAACCAAAATCGATTCATACCATATCATAACTATCCCAGTAGTACTGTATGATTCAGAAACTTGATAAAGGGGTACATTCCAAAAGTAGACCAAAAGGCTCGGATCTCGGACGGGCTGGGCAGGCTTTGCATGGCGGAGAGAAGATACTTCAACTTTTAAAAGTGTAATCCAAGGAGTACTACAAGGTAGACGACCACTTGGAAGACCAAGTAATGAAAGACATCTTCAGACTGGTATCTTCCTGTCATCCAGAAATGGCAGGGGATAGAAGAGAACGGGAGGCCAGGATCATTTTAGAGGTTTCAGTGGCCAAGGTGGTAAAATAAGATACGGTAAGTGATAGTAGGCCTATGCAGTGGAAGGTGGTATGTAGCTACTGTACTCAAAGCCAGTGTGTGTGAATCGGCCACCAAGTTGTAAACTAGCTGTTCTGAATCATATTCAGTTTTAATTGACTACTCGATTCCCGTACATCGGACGGGCCAACAGCTCGTAGTATATTAAGTTAAGTTACTAGTCCTGAATATAGGTGTTTACCGAACGAGTGTGGCCGTTCCTGTGCGAGACGAAGTCGAGTGCGGGGTTACTAAACGAGTGCCGTAAACACATTTTGGACAAGTGACGATATGTTACGCGGTACCGGTACTACTCTAAGCTAACTTAACATTACCCTCATAACCTCTAAGAGAGGTTATGTTTTTGTTTATAACCACTCATTGCCAAATATAATCAGCTGATGGTTGGTGTCCGGTAAAAACTCATAACAGTACAGTACCGTAATGAAACCACTTTATCACGATCGGAGTGGTGACCTGATTACTAGGGGGGAATAATATCCACTCAGCAAGCCAGCAGTAGGCCTATACACTTTGTGAATTGCTGAGCACATAGCAAGAATTTTAATTTTACTCATACGGTATTAGACCTACGCCCTACTTAATAACTATATTTCAAGGCAGTCGCTTTTTACAATGTTAACTAACTAACAAAATAATCTTGTTCCCTTCTTGACGTTTTGTTGACTAGGCCTGTACTCAGTGCCGATGAGCAGTAAACTAACTCTGGCACACCAGCCTAAAACAAACCTGACATACAATACGTTGTACTTAGAACATATCCACATACCACCTGCAGTTACCTATATACCAGTAAGTGGTATGTGTAAGTTTACCAAACGGTTTTGAAACACTGATCTAAGTTAAAAGATTGCTGAACTGTGCAAACACGAAACAAGAATGATTATAAGTATCAATCTTCAATGTTAACTCAATCCAATTTTTTTTTACAAAGTTGTCTATGCTCTTTCTGTTACAGACCACTCTCTTCTTATTCAACAATAGTATTAAATACGTTACAAGTCCTGAAAATAGTGAGAATAGGTGTTTACCGGAAGAGTGTGAGGTGTTATAAGGTGTTCCTGTGTGAGACAAAATCGAGTGGGGGATTACCATAAGAGTCCGGCAAACACATTTTTGACGAGTACTTATATTTGATGCCATACTACTCTAAGCTAACTTATCAATAAAAAAATCTGTACAAATCTTTATATATTTCCACCGCCTAAAGGACTAACAACATTGACTATATAACACTACTCAACGTAGTGTTTATAGTCAATGCTAACAATCACTACTCATATCCTCTAAGAGAGGTTACTCACTGCCTAATATAATCAGCTGGTTGTTGTCCAGTAAAAGCTCATTACAGTACAGTAGGCCTACATACTGAAACCCATTTCCGTTTGATTAAAGCTGAAATGTTGATTAAAGCTGGCGGCAAACATCTGTTTTCCGGACTATATCCTTGCATGGGAAGTTCGTTAAAACGGTGTAGTGTGGCGTAAAAGCACTTATAGCAAGAAACTTAACAACAAGCACTTAAGTTATAGCAAAAAAACTAAATGACAATCATGTGATTTAAAATCAGAATATCAACATTAAAACAAGATTCTGTGAATTTATCAAAGAGCTTAATAACATTTTGTTGAAAACCATATTTTAAAAAACAATCCTCCAACTTTCTCTCCATAGTAGAGACTACAGAATTAATAAATAAACTCTGAGATTTCTTATTTATTTATTGGCCTCTTGAACTCAATTTGTTGTGAAACTATAGATTCGATTAGTAAACCTTCATGCGATTTTTTCACCATCAGCAAGTTTGGTTGGTTAGGTTAGGTTATGATAGTTTAATCTTATAATGGATATATTTTATGATATTAGTGTAGCCCAGTTAAGAAACTGTACCCACATTAAGTTTAGGTTTAGTAGGTCTATATCAAATTATTATTAATTTTGCAAAAAGAAAGGAAATGTTCACAGTGCCTAGTACTAAATTTTCCATAATCGTAAATTTTATTTTTTTTAATTTGCAACATCGTAGAGAAAACCTACCTTAGTAAAGGATATCACTGCAACTTTTTAACCTCAACGTCTTCAACATAAGACCAAGGATAATAAGTTTCGATTGAGTTGGTTGACAATCTAACAGCGACAAACTTGATTTGACATTTGACGTGACACCAAAACCACAGGCACAGACGACAGTCTGTGACTATGTAGCTTTAGCATTCTTTTAGCACAGACATGCGACTGCGAGGCATGGTCAACCAGAACCAGACAGCTGTAAGTTAGTTGCTGATGACAGTCGACAGTGGCTACAAACATACAATTAAAAATACATAATTATATACACATGTATATTTATTTCATAAACCAACTACCATTAGGGTTATTGTTGCATACTCTCATAAAAACCTTTGCAGTTGATGTATTTATAATTACGTGCACGGTAGATCTTTTTAGTGATTCCCCGAAAGGGCCGTAGGTACAAAAGGGGTCATGAGAGGGGCACCCGCCAAGAGCGCAGCCGCTTTGGGGGTTGGAGTGCAAAATTGATAGTGGTTAGTCTATGGTAAAATGGTACTTTCCTGTTAAAGGGAACATTCATTATTATCGATGATTTTTTTCTCGATATATCGATATTTTTGTTTTCCGATTGTCACAAGTTGACAACTGATCTTGTTTAGGCTAAAATAGTCTATTATATGGATTAAGAAATGAAACTGTTCTAAGCTAACCTAACATAACAACCAAACTTGCTGTACCAATTAAAAATTCTGTTTGATAACAGAATAGGCAAGTTAAACACGGAATTTTTAAATGTTACACAGCAAGTTTGGTTAGTTATGTTAGGTTATTTTTTTATAACAGTTTCATTTCATTATTGTTTGTTGATACTGAACAATATTTATCGTAGTTGTCAGCTGATATGTTTCAATTTGTTAAAATCGATATATCGAGAAAAAATCATCGATAATAATGAATGTTCCCTTTAACAGGAAAGTACCGTCTAGCCTACTATCATAGATAAGTACGATAAGTAAATTTATACTCCCTGAGTAGATTTCTCATCCTTATGGAACAGCTGAAACCAATTTTGCTGTTAGTTCTGTCCGGAGCACTGTAGACGTCGTGTTTTGTTTACAATTTGTTTCTTGTTATTTCAGTCATTTAAAACCTCATTTAATCAAAGAAAACTATATAATCATCAACAAATAACTCAACTCGTCCCTTAGTTAATTGACACTAGTAGCCAGTGCCACCGGACATGAACTATATTTTAACTGCTACAAAAAATAAAGGAACGTCCCCCACTTAAAGTGTTTATATATATATACATACCTATATAAAAATTTGAACGAATGGTGTTTTGGGCCTCTGGGGACATCAAAATGAAAAAGTAAATCTGTCCCGGGCCTTGGTCTTACCGTGCCACCTACGGTAACCGAGTGAAAAATTAAAAACGCACGTTTTCAGAAAAAGCACTTTGCAAATTTTTCCCCCTTTTTTCAAAACTTTTATTTTTTTTTTATTTCATTAACATTTGAAGTTTCATAAAATGTCCATGGTAACGCAATATCTTTGGTAGTTTCTTTTTATAAGAGCATCTTTAGTGGAAAAACACAAAATCCTATTACGACCATTTAACGGATGTTTAAATGAATATTAAAAATAGTTAATATTATTTTTATAACTATGTTTTGCTATAAACTAATTTACTTTTATGACCATTATACAATAAAAAGGTCACTGAGCTTTTGGTATATTTGTTCTTTCTAGAAAAAAATAAAAACACTCAAAAAATTGAAAAAAGCCAGTAAAATCTTTTTAAGTTTGTATAACTCCGAAAAAACTTACCTGAGACCCGAAAAATCGTTATGTTTGTATAGGATGTGCTTCTTTTGTGTATAAAATATTGAAATATGACGATGTTTTAAATTTTGAAATTTTTATGATAGAAATCATAAACGTGATGGTCAGGGACAAGCGGTACGGTCGTGGATTGTCTGGAATAATCTAAATATTTCTAAACAATCCTTCAATTATCCTGTTAGTTATAATAAAAATATGTGTTTCAATTGAACTAAACTGTTCAATTTACAATTATATTAAAGTTATTGTCACGACCAAACACACTATAATCCATAAGGCTGTATTGGTCGTGAAAAACCCGCGATGGTCGTGAAACTTTGGTCGTGAAATTACGTGTTATTTGGCTCTGTTCTGGTGGTAGCCCTGCACCTCATGTTCGAGGATACAGTGGACTTCTAGGTTAATCTAGCAATTGAAATATCTTATAAACAAAAATTAACACCATGTCTACTTCATCGAATGACTACGTACGGTCATGGACACACCAAAATTACAAAAAACACAATCTTTCCTTTATTAATCTTGTAATTCCTCCTTTCAACTCGAAACGACCGGCACTACAATCCTGACGTACACCCCGAACTAGTCTCTAAAACCAACTGACTCCATCGACGCCAGGCTTGCCACTGTCGTGCTCCAATTTTCCCAAATGGTCGTGACGCCAAATCGAGAGACAGACTTATTTTGTCATGGTAGTCAGTTTGTAATGACAATAAAATTATAATATGCTCCTTTTTTGTAAGTTTAATAACCATTGATGACATAAAAATATGGCTTTATATATTTCGGCATGAATAATTAGTCTAAAAACAGCGTGAAAGTTGGAAAATGTACCCTAGGGACACGTCATGGTCGTGAATTTAGAGACTTTAAAAATACAAAAAAAATACCTAGAACCTATTTAAAACCAAATAACTGTGTGTAACATGTTGCCCCCGTCCCAAAAAATATTAAAACACATAATAATAAACTACAAATCCAGTATCTACGAAGTAAAAGGCCAGGGACATGAAAACTTACGTTTTTAAATTTTCACTCAACAGCTACTTAGGGAAATTCGCTAAAATCGTAAATAACTTAAATTATACTTTGAAAAAGGTTTTTTATCTAAAAAGTAAACCCACATCTATTTATGAAATCATTAATGCACTTTACTACGCAGTATTAACTGTATGTTTTGTACTTCAATAAGTGGCATTTGAGAAGGATTTAGTGTGAATGCTTCGCACGCGTCGGCTAGTTAAAACAAAATCTATATTATTAATACGCTACATGAAACTTTGTGAACAATAAGGCTTTTTTGTTTTAAGATTTAACCCCACATATTATATACCAAAATGCTCATCTAGGGGTGTAGATTTGCAAACTGACCTTACATTTTCGAAAGGTCCCTTGGGCTCTGCCTAGCGGCTATAAAGTTCCCACGTTATCCTTATGAAGAACATATTTGTTTACATTATTATCAGCTGGATAATCAACTTTTTTATAATGCCAATAAACGATGCAAACCATCTGAATGATTTTGATGGATCACACTGGAGTGTTTTATTTTTTGACAAGGAGGCCAACAAATTCTTCCACTATGACTCTTTAAAACCATAATGTTGACCATGCAAAAGCCGTGTTACAGAAAATAACAGCTTATCTCGAAGTGACAAAGCCGACGCCAGAACTTCTAGCTATAGACTGTCAGAAGCAGATTAACAGTTACGACTGCGGGATTTATTCAATACTGGCGATAGAACAAACGATACAACACATTAAAAAAGGACAAGGAATACCAACTAATTTACTGAACATGCAAGTTGATGAAGAAAATGAAACAGCACATGTAAAGCAGATGCAAGAGGAGAGTTCATCTGAGTGCCATGTTAGTGACAAATCAAAAGACACCTGGACCACAGTTAAGAAAAAATCTGGTAACAAAGACCCGAATAAACAGCAACAAATAGCCACCGAATTAACAGGTTCAAAGCTTTGGAAGAGATAACAGATGAAAACCAAGACAGGAGTTTTGAAGACATGGGAGATGCTAATCAGTCTGTTTATGAGAAACAAAGCTCTGGTACCTACAAGAAGAGGGAAAAGGTGAAAAAGGATGGATCCGTCAGAAAGAAAGTTCAAAATGAGGCTCATGTCCCTACTACTGACATTACTTACTGCTCTGACAGTCAGGGAAGCTCTGTTCCACTGATGATTTCCCAAATGAGTTCAAATAAACTCAACACAATCGGCTGTCAGAGCCAACACAACTTTGAATCAAGTCATTGACTCATCCACAATTGAACCAAAGAACCCAATTGTATTTCTAGGTGGTACCAAATGACAGCTAATGATTTTACTGATATATACAGTAACCTAGAAAAAAACTGTCTTTAGTCAGTAGCACCAGGCCTGTTTTTGTGTGCACAATCCCCAAAAGATATGACACTCCATTGTATAGTGCACAGAATAAAAATATTAATATGGTAAATAATTACATTTCGGAATTGACAGTGAGGCTGAAAAACGTTAATTTAATTGACCTAAGAAGATTAAAAAAATTTCACTTCATGACTCATGGCCTTCATTTGAATGTTAAAGGTAAGCAAGAGTTGGCACGTATTATAATCTATGCTCTCAGTCAGTGGCATGCAAGTAAAAACAAGAGCTCAATCAAAGGAATGTCAGAAAACTGTAATAAATCAAAACTACAAAAAATAATGAAATTTCAAATAAAAAACATACTTATCTTAGTAAAAAAGCAAATACCCCAGCCCCAATGAACATTTCAAGACCAGAAATCAACAGAGAGAATGAAGAACCAATCTCAGTCATCGATGGACATGAAGGACATGATAAGGAAATACCAACAGATGGAAGATGTCGCTTTTGCACATACAATATCGGCAGATCTAGAAAGTCCAAGAAATATGACTGCTGGTGTGGCAGCTACATTTCGAAAAATGAGACCCACAAAGAAAAACTGTATTAACGATTTTTTAGCATATCAGAAAAGTGCTAAGGGTGCTGGTGTGTATAGCCTTATAACAAAGTTGGAGTATTTCAACAAGCCAACCCATTTCGATTACGACACAGCTTTCAACGAACTTACTAAAGATTTTCAGAAAAAGGGATTTTAAAAAACTGGTATGCTCTGCGATGGGTTGGGTAAGGGATTTGATTTCACGTAATCACTTTAAACAGGTCCACGACGCGACGTAGGGGGTGTTGAAGGAAGTAGTAAAGGTGAGCATTGTTGAGTGTGGAATGGATTAATGTGCAATGCTAAATTGCTATGGGAAGAGACTGTAGACTGTATTCAAAATGATTACGAAGCATATGAATCGATACATATTTCGATACATGCAATCGTTTACAATAGAAATCTACAACTGAGTTGACAACAGCTGATTTTTACTTTAAATAGGCTAAAAATGATTTTTACTCCCTAAAGAGTAAAAATGCTACTTTAGACCCGCAACGCATGCAATAAAAACGACTGTTTTTACTGCAGTATGACAAAAACAATATAATAATATGAACCCTTGATGACTCCGCTCAATTTTGTGGATGCCTCTGCGAACACCACCTAGTTATCTTTAAGTGTGGCCAACCTATTTCCAAGCGTACACGGATTACGTGCATAATAGAATTACGCTGTTTTGTGTTGTTTCGTTGGAATCCTGATGTGCGCCATCCGCCAAAGTATAAACTGTACGACAAAGTATAAATATGCAGCAATTAGCAGCTTTCTGTACTATAAACAGTACAAGGAAGCCAACTTTGTCGGGTGACTGTGGGAAATAGTTATTTGTGTAACTAGTGGGCAAAGTGGCACTTTGCTGCACACGAGAGCAATGTTTACGCACGAGCCGCAGGCGTATGCGGAATGATCTCGAGTGCAGCAAAGGCCTTTTGCACTCGTGTTACACATTACCTATATTTTTCCTACAGTCACTATAAAGCATATAAATAATTAGTCTTTCAAACACTATACAACACGTTTTTAGGTTCAGCTAGCAACACAAATAGGTGCCATAGAAAAAGTAGTACCCGGTCCGTATCACTCCGCTATTTTTCCTCGGCAAGAAATGTGCTCCGCGACTTGAGAATATAGTTCCGTATGTTTTTGTAATTTGAAGTGGTTTCAGCGCCTAAAAAAATGCTTTAAAGGTATTTTCTTGTTTATTAAGATCGTAGGAATGTTTTAAAACGTTTAAATGAAAAGTCCAGAAAGTTCAGAAATACCAAAACTATAAACAATCAAGCTGCTCAATCAGCTGCTCATTATTATTATATTTAAGTGTTGTCAACCTATTTCCAAGCTTACACGGATTACGTGCATAATAGAACCACGCTGTTTTGTGTTGTTTCGTTGGAATCCTGATGTGCGCCAAAGTATAAACCGTACGACAAAGTATAAATATGCAGCAATTAGCAGCTTTCTGTACTATAAACAGTACAAGGAAGCCAACTTTGTTGGGTGACTGTAGGAAAAGAATATTTAACACATTTTTAGATTTAATAATACCAAGGTATTTGTACATCTATGATAACAGAAAAAAATAATTCTATAACCACTTATTGTACATTGTATAATGTTACCTGGGCAAAACCGGGTTTTGCTGCTAGTACACTAATTAATTCCTAGCATATACAAATAGTACCGGGGACCGAACTATGACTTCCTTTACTTTTACCTTTTGCTTGTGTCTAAAGTCTGGTCTGCAGGTAAGTATAAGGTGTATAATTTAAGTTGATTGATAATTAAAAGCAATGCCTTTTATACTTATTATAACTTCTTCCGTAGTTAAGTTCATATAGGCTGGTGGTCAAATGGATTCAAATAAAATTAATATACATAAAAAATCATATAATTTATTTGTATAAAACCACTGAAAAGTATAAATAATTAAAATAATAATAGAAATAAATTAGGAATTACAGAATCAATACAGTCTATAAGTTACACAAGAGTTTGAAATGTACAAAACAAAACAATGAAAGCTCAAGGTGCAAATTTGTACTTATAGCTTGTTGTAAAGTACTACAACTGTACAGTATATTTACACAATCATACACAAATGTCTACCAGTCCAGGGAATCTCTCTGGAAGGTAAACCTCGGACTGTTAGCAGAGTAGAACTGACTGTACCATCTTCTATGTCTCACAATGGCTTGGTCCTCCTTCACCAGCAATGGCTTCACGTACTTCTTGTGGTTCCAGACCATGATGTCTCTTTCAATCTGAAATTAATCAAAAAACTTAATACAATTATTATAATACCATTTAAATTATTCAAATGGTTTGATACATAATTTTAGTCTACACATTTACACAGATATTTTTTTAATTACAATTATTTTAATTTCATACCAAGGATTTGTACTCAAATGATCAGTACAAAATTCCAATAACAAAATGTTTTATTTTATGGACGCTTTAGGACATAATATGTACAAGAACTTCAACAAAAATTGATTCAGTTTTGAGTGCCAAAAAAAGTGTCTACCTACATCTTTTAACTATTTAACTATTTGCTTGATAACAGTTTAAGTATTTCCTTCTATATACATTCAGTGTTATAAAAGGGACGGATTAAAGTGGATATTAATAAAAGTATTTCATAGTTATTTGCATTCTAGATTCTAATTTTAATTCCTTTAGAAGAGGTTGATGTGTTGTTGTCCTAACTTATTTTGCGAGGAAAAACTTTCTATTCTGAGACCAATCAAACTCAATTATTAAAGAATATCATTTTCATCAACTCATTATTCCTCCAAATTTATTTGTTTATTATGAATCTGATCTTGTCTAGATTAAATACATTAAAAACACTCAGTGTTTGAATGGTATTCTGATTCCGACAGTGTGAAATACTCAGCTTTTAAAATCTTATAATAATTACCGGTATTATTGTCAAACTACTTAGGCGATCCAGAAAGTAAAGAACGTTTCGTTATGACGCCGCTAGGCGCGCGCCGATCTCGTACATTTTGGTATGTGCGTACTCGGCAACTCAGTCGGCATCCAGCCGTGACAATTGGAGCATTCTAGCGCAGCCCGTTTTTTCACAATTTCAACTTAAGATGAGCGCTGCAATAAAAAATCCCGCCAGTTAAGGGGTGCGGTCAGTGATACGGTTTTTGTTGGAAAACACTTAAAACCGAAACTTTTCCTCAATTTTCACGGACTTTGTTGTTTAAAATTGTCACGCAACAAAGCGAAAGACCCGTTATCGGGAATCGGCGGTCCTTGCGAACCTTTTCATCAACTTTAGTGACCAGTTCCATCAGTCACAATGCTCGGCGTCCGCCCTTCGCTTCGTCATGACTCATGAGCGTCAGATCGGACATTTTTAATCTGAATGCACCATTTTCTCAGAACTTTCAATCATTACGTTTTTTTCCTTGAACTTCATACCCTTGGCGATAAATGTCTATCGATTTTAAGTTTAATGCCAACACAAACCGTATCACTGACCACACCCCTTAACTGGCGGGATTTTTTATTGCAGCGCTCATCTTAAGTTGAAATTGTGAAAAAACGGGCAGCGCTAGAATGCTCCAATTGTCACGGCTGGATGCCGACTGAGTTGCCGAGTACGCACATACCAAAATGTACAAGATCGGCGCGCGCCTAGCGGCGTCATAACGAAACGTTCTTTACTTTCTGGATAACCCACTTATATTTTTTTAATTGTTTTTAAGGAATTCTTTTTGAGAATTCATTCCTAATGGCTCCTTTCTATAAACATGCATAATTCATATAACAGAGAATTATTTGATTATGGCGTTCAATGCCTTCCTTCTTAAGTTATACTGTAACACATAAATCACACCCACATCTCCCGCTGGTCTTCCTAAGTTATACCATAGATAAATCATACTCCCTTAGTAGATTTGTCATCCTTATGGAACAGCTGAAGCCAGTTTTATTGTTAGTTCTGTACGTCCAACTGTAGAGGTTATGTTTTGTTTACAATTTGTTTCTTGTTATTTCAGTAATTTAAAACCTCATTTAACCAAATAAAACGATTTAATCATAAACAATAACTGGTCTCCTAGTTATATAACCAAACAGTAAAGCACAAATCATGAAAATAATCCTAAAATAATAGAAACAAAATGTTGTCTACCCCAGCGATCGGTGTGGACGTACATGAACTAGACACGAAAAACAAGCTTCAATATTTACAATGAGATGAGGAGTCTACTTTTGTTGCTTAGTCTATGGTTATACTGTAACACACAAATTACACCCACACCTCCCACTCTTCTTCCTAAGTTATACTGTAACACATAAATCACACCCTCGACTCCCGCTGGTCTTCTTAAGTTATACTGTAACACATAAATCACACCCACATCTCCCGCTGGTCTTCCTAAGTTATACTGTAACACACAAATCACACCTACACCTCCCGCTCTTCTTCCTAAGTTGTACTGTAACACATAAATCATAAATCACACCCACACCTCCCGCTGGTCTTCCTAAGTTATACTGTAACACATAAATCACACCCACACCTCCTGGTGGCATTCTTAGGTTTTGGCTACTACTCTAGACTCTTGTATGTTTTAATTGAACCCACCATGATGGCCTCCCCTATGAGAGTGATGGTAGCATACAACATGAGCAGAGGTGGGCAGTAGACTCGGTGAACTACCCTCTGTAGCAGAGGCTCTATAGGCGTCACAACCTGCACGATGCCGATGGGACCAATACTGGTCATCAGGTTCATGTACACGTAACCTGGCCCAATCTGCAACAAACATCATTGCAGTGTTAGTTAGTGCCACTTGTCATTAAATTTTCAATGGTTTTTTTATTGTAAACTATTTTATAACATTGAACTTTGACACCAATTACTGTTTCAAACTAAGCTAGCTTATTAAACATAACTGAAGTTAAATTTAACTTAAATTACTAAAATAAGCTTGAATACTTTTTTGATACAAAATATTTTTCTCCCTCTGGGAATTTCTTTCTACTTGAACGAGAACCGCCATTTATTTTAGCTCAGCTTCTCCTACCTAGCTCAAACACATACATCAGGTGAACTCGTTGAGAGATGCACACTAAATATTTGACTACAAAATTTTGTATTTTGTTCTACAGTACTGTCTTCTGGCCAGATTTTCAGACTGCTTAAACATAAACCAGACCTAACAATTACCAACTGTATACTATACAACGCTATATATCAGTGTCCCCCTCAGTCCCCCTTCAAAACAATTTTCAATCAACTTCTTGGTTTTCCTTTTAAACATAAAACACTACATACGGTAGTAATGATCTTGACGTCCTTTAGGTTGTCAATAATGATATGCAACTACTGTATACGTATTGGTACACGTATCAGTTACTTATGCTCCCTTTGGCACTTATAGAGTTATACAGTGAAATATAAGGGGACACTTAAATATTTATATTATGTTTTGTTCAAAAGTTATTGAACTATATTTTAGGATATTTCTCAAGCATACCTACTAAATACAAAATAAGGACTCCTAATTTTGTATCTGCTATAGTCTCACTCACCTGTCTTGCATTAACTTTCATTGAGATGAAGCTGAACTTGTTGAACAGCCTGACATCGTGGTCCAGGTTCATAGTGCCAATGTGTTCCTCACCCGGAGTTGTGTGTTGTCGCCATGTTGCCGACCAGGTGTGTCTGGCGAAGCTGTGCCACATGCGCTCATAGTAACGGAGGTCACTGCCACCCAACAGTGACGGTGCATGAATGGCGTTTAGATGTGCAATGTCTGCTCCGTTCTCAGGAATTTCCTGAATAACCAAATGCAATGCTGTTAGTCTTAAATTTTTTTGATATTTTATTTAAATGTTGGATGTTACTTTGGGGTTTTGAATATACTCTTTTGATTGATTTAAACAAAATGGACTTATTGTACAAACATTTCCAAAAGCTGGTACCAAAACTTCCTACAACAGGTCGTGCAACTTTTAAATTAATAAATTTAGCTATAATAATCAAATATGGTCCATGAGAAATGTGTGCTGCTGTTTTATATTAATGGTATTTATTCCTAAAATATCTTTTCAAAACATTTTAACTGTGTCAGTTAAAACCTTTATTGTATAATATAATGATTACTGTTCAATCAGGTGAATACAGTTTGTTATAAATTTGGCATTTGATACTGTTTAGCTAGTGAGCTGACCTCAATGTGAGAGTTGATGATGAACTCAGAGCGGCCACGGTACCACCACTCTCCGCTATGTATCTCCTCCGTGACCTCCACTTGCCAAGAGGGTGCCTCACCCTCTGCATGGTACCACACAAAGATGAAGTCATTCACCTCACAACTCTCCCACTTCTTCACTTTGGCAAAACTAGGAACTGAAAAGAATAAAAGTTAATAATTAATTGGTGTAATGACAACAGTGCCGTCCCTAGGGTTAGTGGCGCCCAGAGCAAACGTGGTCGTGGCGCCCTCTCCCCAGTAATAGTTACATTCGCATATTTTAATACTATGTTAATAATACAAATAGCCGCTGCGCGGCGCCCCCTCAGCCACGGCGCTCGGGGCAGCTTGCCCCGGTTGCTCCCCCCTTCGGACGGCCCTGAGTGACGATGACTTGATAATGTTCATGTATAAATGGATTCAATATTCACATCTAGGTAAGGGGATATCACACACATGCTGACTTAATCTGTAAAGTAAAATTTGCAACGGAAAAGTTGTAACAACAAATGAACACTGGTCTACAAGTACATGTTCTTATTGTTATTTCCTTGGTAAAGTGGAATCAAGTAATTTGCAAAACACCAAATAAACCAAAGAGAAAATCACTGTCATACTCGAGAAAAATTATAAACTTATATTTTGGAGCATATACAACCAACTGTTATTAATTCATAAAAACTTTAAGATGAATTTTTCAAAGACAGTATTTTGTCTTATGGGGCTCTCCAGAGGGGAAAACCTTCCATCCAACAAAATATTAGTTTATTAATACATAATTACATTCAGCAAAACTGCTTCTAAGAAGAATAACATTGATTACAAGTTTAGATTTACTGCAGCGAGAGATTTACATAGAGATTCTCTCTGCTAAAACTATTTTTCTATTTCAATGAGTTACTCATATTCACCTTTTGCAGCGTAAGGTATCTCAGAACATTTGCCATCTTGCCCCCGGAACTGCCAGCCATGAAAGGGACACTCAAGACAGTCACCCTTGACTACTCCACCAATGCCCATGTTGGCCCCGAGGTGAGGACAGTAGGCGTCTAGTACATACGCCCTACCATCCTTGCTCCTGAACACTGCAAAGTTCTCACCTGAAGAAACCATGCAACTTTGTTAGATGGAAATGTTGATCAAACAGTATCACAGAAGTAACATTGAATACAATTTGAATCCTGTAATGTATGTTGCCGAGGTAAATTGTATCTATAGTGTTACCCAGTTTCAAGAACGTATGATGGTTAAATTACTTTTTTCTTGTAGTTGCCTTATATTATTATTATTATTGTTCTTGATGTTGTTGTTTAGTAGTCACAGATGCACATTTCGCCTCATTTATCACGTGACACATAAACTCGTGACACTAAGTTTTAGTAATCTATTATAGATAGGTACTGTAAAGATGCCTCATTGAGGTGAAATGTGCATCAGTGACTACTGAACAATACAAATATCGAGAACAATTTAAGGCAACTACCAAATTGAAAAGGTACAGTAACTTAATTGTATAATATTGTTTTATGTACGGTATTCAATCTTATTGTTGGAGGATAACTAGTTGATGATATAATATTCATAAAGTATGTGCATTAAACAGAATTATTAGTTCATTAGATAATAAATATTGGTACTCGGATTGGTAAGATGCAGTAGGTTTAGGCACATACACTTGACTATACTTTGTGTTTTTTTAGAGTGCAGTTCCGCATACCACCCAGTTACTTAAACTTCTCATTCCTGCATACTTCTCAACTATCCCTCACAGCTTAGTCATGGTGCAAACGCTTTAGACGCATGGCTTATAAAGGATAAAGGCTTTATCTTACATTCTATAGGCATAGTTGTGCTTTTATTTAAAACTTTCATATTATATTTTTTGATATATGGCTTAAAACAGTAAAAAAGTGGTCCCATGAAAGACAGTCTTATGGCTGTGAATAGGTTTGACTATACAGAGAGACTAATTATTATATTTGATGAATTTTGAACATTTTCATAATGGTTTGTATCAGATAATTGACGCTATTTAATTTTGTAAGAAGGGATAAGGTATTCAAAATCCCCCTACACCTTTTATTTATTTAATTAACTTTAAATTTACTGTCATAAAGTAAATCTGACTCACCAAGAGCTTCGACGTACTTCACTTGGCCAGCTGGGACGTCACTAGACTCGGCCAGAGCAAACCATCCGTTGGGGTAGACAGGGGGAAGATCCCCAATCCTTCGTCGCCTTCTCACCTCTTTAACCAATTCTCGCTTGGACTTGCGCATGGCTTTGTACTGGGGTGTTTCGGTCAAGTAGTCATACCCCACATCACTCAGATCCTAAACATCAGGAGAATACAATTAAATGAAGACTAATTTGTAAATATGGTTTTAAGATTGATTTACGAAAAATAGTTTCAATGTTTACACCACATGTCATAAAATCAAATGTTGGACATTTGCAAATCTACACTCGTGAAACAATACAGTATTTTAGAAATCTAAAATGGAACAAGAGATTTTTATTGCCAATGAAAGACTAAAAGTTTAAGGAAAATGTAATGTATTAGTAGTTATTCAATGGAAGTAGGTATACAATAGATACAATATATCTACTAGTAAATAGTATCTGATATCCTGTATGTATATATGATCGAAGCTGTCTTCTGACTCTTTGTCTACCTGGGGCTGGCCCAGACCATAAACTCGAACTCTGAGCCCCTCGCCCTAATTATTCTCTTTTAGCTTTTATCTTCAATAACTTTTTTATCAAAGTCATAATTTCCAAAATTGCATTATACATTTCAGAAGTACATTTAAGATCATGAACAGTAAAGAAGGGAGAATTTGAATAAAAACTAACAGTGTAGAGTATGGATTTTTTTACCCCTATTTTATTTTCATCTCTTTAGTGTTAAATATAAATTAAATTCACCCTTGTTTTGTGTCAATGATCTTATCTCATACATAACATTTTTGATGGAATTTAGGAAACTATGACTTGGGTAAAAAAGTGACTGATGCTAGTGGGAAAGCTTAAAGGTGACAGTAGAACCTTAATCAGTAATCAGTAAACCTGACAGTAATCAGTAGAACAGCCATGAGGGGGGGGCTGTGTTCTGTGTTGCAGAGTTTGGGTTTAAGGCCCGGACCAGTCCCAGATAGACAGAGGGTGTGGAGACAACTTCAATCAGACAGACTATAGCAGCACTAAATATGAAAGAAATAAAATCCTTTAAAGCTGTGTCAGTGTTAGTGAATGATTAAAAAGTTGAAGCAATTATGGAGATGCCATTTTGTAATCTACATAAGTACTCTAACTCTATAGTGTTTTGCAAACAAAAGAAAACCAGTGGTTATTGCACAATTGTTTGTGAAGCTTACTTTTATCCAGTTGATAGGCAGGTACAGGTAGTAATACATGAGACCCAATACAGCCACAGCTATGATGATGTTGGGGTAGTTGAGCCAGTGGAGCTCCAAGAAGGAGTGGTAGACATTTCGCACCAACACAAAGGGGTTGAGTTGTGACAGAGCACTCCAAACTAGAGGACAGCCCCAGACAACGTTCTGCGACAAGCTCTTCACTACTTCCATCTTAGTCTGAAACTAGACAATAAGTAATATTGTAGTCTGAAATGTCCACTGAATACGGTAAGTATTTGTAAAAAATAGATAGATTCAGGTAGATTTATGTGAGTGTGTTTTATTCTATGGCTTTCATAAAGGAAAAAGTACCACTTTTTACACAATTTTGCTTCAACCACTTTTAACCACCAAATAAAATCTCAGCCTTTTCCAGGTTTTTATGTCCCCTTTCATCAAAGCTTCTCAAACCACGAAGACAAAGATTGACCAAGAATGTATTTATTATAATTGGACCTGTTGTATATATGTTGTCACCTGTTGTATATAGCCATGCTATGTATGAACGTTTTTGTGACAATAAAGTTTTATTTATTTATTTAACCATATTCCCATATCTTATAAAAAAAAATTTAAAGCTCATAACTTATGGTTTTGTTTCATATATAACTTATGGTTTTCTTTCATATAGGCTAGCTTGGACTTAAAATAAAACAATAAAATTTCTGATTTCACTCTCAAATGTAAAATTCTTACTCACTACCCTACATAACACCATATCAAACAATTGTTTTCAAATTTTGTGATTAAATTACTAACTATCACGTAAAAATAATAACCGTTACTGGTATTCAAACCAAATTAATTGTTCAAAACCTTATAGTTTTCTATGTTTAATAAATAAAGTTGCAATGAATAATTTCACTTGCGACATTTTTTGACACATACCTTCATGGGGATGTTGTTACTGAACTAAATCTATCAATACCGTTACCTAACTAACACACATATTAAAGCAACAATCTTTGGTTTGAAACTAATGCTACTGAGATCGGAACTGCGGGGACTGGTCGCTGCTAGCGCTATATACCTCACTCTCACTAGCCACTGTGGGGGTAATCGTATCCCAATGTATTCGTCATAAAAATTTAAACAGTTCGACCATTTTGGAATAATTCGGAGCGAGAAAGAAATATTGCTAGTTATATCCATCCACCCACAGTTCCCTAATTTCTAGATACTCAAAGATTTTATCGTCCCTATATGGGAAATTTGCTACAAGATGACTATATCCTTTAAGCCTGTGGTTATTTTGGCTCTACTCAAGAAAAAAATCAGCTCAATTGGTCAAGTAGTTTTAGCGTTATTGACAAACTCCAAACATTCATATCTATAATATTAGTTCTTTCCAGCCAAGTCATTGACTTGATCAGTAATGCACTAAAATTATTAATGCTAATCCGTTTCCCAGAAATTTCTTTAGGAGGAAACATACACGACGTAAAAAAAAACTTTGGAAAAATAAAGTTATTAAGTTGATAAATTATGCTCTTAAAAATTACAATCGCCCTATTGCAAAATACCACAAATTATTTATTAAATTAAAACATAAACATAACTTTATTAAACAATCCTAATTTGACAGTTTTCATTGTGTATCACAGCTTGTTGCTTCTTAGTTCATTTGAATATTGCAGAAACTCCATAACAATAGTTATTTGTGCAACTAGTGAGCAAAGTGAGCAATTGCCTCACTCGAGAGAAATCCTTACTTGAGGAATGGTTTCTCGAGTGAGGCGGTTGCACTTTGCACTCGAGTTGCAAATTATATTTTTTCTACAGTTACCATAAAAAAATAAATTGGTAAAGAAACGTGCCTTCACGTTGCAAATCTGGAGTGAGACAAAGTAATTAGAGTGAGACAATGTTAACATTGTCTCACTGATGAGCGAATTGGCCACTTTCGTGCCTTCACATTGCAAATCTGGAGTCATGAGTGAATTGGCCACTTAGCTTTCTCAAATCAGTGAGTGAACATGTACCGGTACATTTTTAGGTAACTGTGGGAAAATTTTTTTTCCAGTTATGTGATTTTTGCACACCATATGATGTATTCCAATTTGTTCATCATTAATAAACTATACTAAAAAGTCAAAATCGAAAAAAATGTTGGTTATGGGGTTTTAACATTAAATGATTCAAATTAGCTGTTGTCATACATTCAAACACAAAATAACAGTGCTGCACCCTGATGGTAAACCTTGTAACTTTATAATGCTATTGAACGTCACAGAACCAACTTGTTTAACTAAAATAGCTGTTAAGATGCATTAAAATTCCTTTTAAATAATGAATGCTCATAGGGTTAACATGGGAAACTCCAGAGCCACTGGGGCGGAGCCCAAAAGTTCGATCAGAATAAAAACGACTTAGTTATCCTATTTAATGCCTAAAGAATCAGTGTATCAAATTTCAGCCTCATTTGTAGGTAAATGGGAAGTAGGAGAATTAGTGACGAGTGAGTCAGTCAGTGAGGGCTTTGCATTTTATAATATGTTTAGATATTTACTCATTTGTTAATCTTATTGAACTGTAACAAAAACTATCTACATTATAATTATAAGAAATAAACAATTATTACCCTCCTTGCGTTGTTGAAGACTGAACATAGAACAAGTTTAAATTTAGAGTTAAAGGTAAACTTTTAAGGGAAACAAACCAGTATCTTGTTCCAGGAGACAAAGAAAAAGGCCCTCCTCTACAGACAAGTTAATGTTAAATGCTATAAATAGTAGTTTTCATCCATTTATCATTCTTATTAAATAATTTCACCCATTCCAAAATCAATGACTTTCCAATAATCATTATCCTAATCATACTTTATTGTCATTATACTGTGATTGCCTCGTTATAATAAGCTTGGAAGCAATAGGATTTCGTAACAGAAAACCCAGAAAATTAATTTATTAATGAAATTTAATTAAACTTTTGAGTAGTTTATTTTATAGGACAATGGGCAAGACTTCTGCTACCATAAGCTAAAATTTGAGAGAACCAAAGTACATGAGTGAATATTTTTTGGCATCCCTGAATTATTGTAGGCACTTCTAAAATAGTTAAACCAGTAAATTTAGTAACCAATGGGTTGAAAAGACTTTTTGCCCGTGTGATGAACTACATTTTTGTTCATATTGCACCATTATTCGAAAAAACTATATTACAAAACTGAAATAGTTTTCATTTAAAGATAACCTCTCAAAACTAATTCTAACTTGTTTTCAATTTAATTTGCTAATACTTTAATACTTTATTATTAAATGGCAACCATACAAAGTACAGTCTAGATGCTACATCCATCCGGCCGTGACGCATAATCCTCACCGGTGTTACCATTTTTAGCTTTTACTCGTTAAATCGTACTTTTTTCGTTTCAATGTTCGTGTCTGTGTTTTTGTTCGTAACCGTGACCATGTTCGTGTATGAACGTATGTGTGTATTGACGACCTTCTGATGAAGTGATTTGACATCCCCTGGACGTCCGAAGATGACTTCGTGATAAGTCGAAACTAGTTGCGTCATAACAGCAACAATTTGGATTACAAGAAGCAGGTATATACACCAATTTTTACATACAAAGTAGGTATTTTAAGCCAAGTATGAATGGAGATGAGTGTAGGATGAGTGGTGCGATCTTGTAGTCTTGATAGTGACTAAGGCCGGCATTCCTTAGACACAGCTGTTAATTAATAGCCCATACAGCTAATGGCAACTAAGGGACCTACACAGTTTATTGTGGAATCCGAACCACATTTTTGCCTTGGTATATTACGAATTGGTCTACTTATCAGGAAAGTACAGCGGATTGTCGTAGTACTCACTCGTGCGGACGTTAATCCACACCAGGGAGTATCGCATCCACAGTGCATGCCTATAAATAATGGAAACAAGCAGCTGTTTAGTAAGTGATTCAATTGTTTCGTCTATTAGATTGTGTTAATGTTGTTAAAGTGTTTACAATAAGGCAAATATTAACTACAATCAACAATTGCTAAATGAAATTGTTTACATTATAAATTTACATGTTATAGTTGCTGAGTTGACAATAGCTGATTTTTATCTGTACTGTAAACATTAAACAAGCAAATTACAACAGTTAAGTTATTTTATCTATAAGAATAACATGGGAGTTTTAAATGTGCGTTTTTATTTTTGTTTTCATCTCTTTATTAGCCAACAAAAATATTTTAAAATTATTTTTAAGCTCTATAAAATGACTGCAATAAAAATTGGGTATTTTCATCCAATTTGATAAAAATGCACAATTTTTGAAGAATTTCAAAACCCTACTTACATTCTGTTCCCATTACTGCCATTACCAGTTCCCAATCTAGCTGGTTCGCAAACTCATTCAAGTTTATCAAGCCCTACACATTCTTTGCCAATTCTCAGCAAAATTGGTCCACAATTGCTTGAGTTATCATGGTCATGATGATAGACACACTCATATAGACAAATTTGAATTGTTGAAATTAATGTTTTTGGTTTTTGATTTATTTCTATGTGTGTTCAAAGGTTCAGTGCTGCAAAGGGTTTAAAATGTGAAATTTTTATGAAACAGATGATTTACATTAAAATATGATTTTCAACAGAGACTATGATTTTATTCAAAGTAACTTACTAATCAAAAATCTGAAAACTTTGAAGTTAAAATTGAATAAAATAGTAACTTTATTTTATGAAATTTGAAATTACAAAGAGTAGTGAATAGAATGCTTGGAGGGAGTAGGATGTGGTTAGCATTGGAGATCTATATTATCATAACACTTTGTACTGGACCAATGGTAGAGGCAGCACTAAGGCCGGCCATTCAGTCATCTTAATCCAACCAATCCAATTCTTGTATTGCTTTTGTGGAAGGATCTCTTATACCAAGACAAATATCCTTGCCTAAGAAACACTAAAGTGGTCTCTGAACCACTGGGCCTGGGCCAACATGATCATTTAATAAACAGCCAATGGTGACTGGTGGGATTGAACCCAGGCCTCCAGAATAGAGGTACCATGTTCTAACCCAGCGCTAGGCAAAGTACAGACCCGGTCCGCAACATGGTTATGAATAACCCCTTCAGTTATACATAGAAGAAAATTTACTTGCTGCAAAGCTATAGAACTAACTGCTAATAGAATTAACAGGGAGAGTTGGTGGCTCAGTTTGGTAGG